TCAGCAAGACTTTGACCCATCCTAGCAGATAACACAATTGGTACAGGAAGGCTAAAAGAGGAAAGAGACTTCTCATACTATGTCCCCAAGAATGATTGCTAAGGAATCCTGAGATCACTGACTCTAAGAGAAGATATGAACAAAGTGAATTTTGACCAACTTGGTCTTAAACACCTGGCAGGAGAGTATGACTGAAGTATGACTATATGTGGACATTTAAAAAGAAAGACAGCCAGGCATGGTGCCACATGCCTGTAATCCTAGCAGCTTGGGAGGCTGAGACAGGAGGATCATAATTTCAAAGCTAGCCTCAGCAATTTGGCAAGGCCCTAGGCAACTTAGTGAGACCCTGCCTCAAAATAAAAAATAAAGGGCTGGAGATATGTCTCAATAGTTAAGAGCCTCTGGGTTTAATCCCTGGTTCCTAAATGCATAAATGGAAAGATAATTTTTTTAATGTAACTTAAGATGTACACTTCTGTCAACGCTACCAAAAGTAAGTAAAGCTGGAAGCTATAAAGGAAGGGTTCTTGTGTGGGAATGCCTAATAATAATGATCACGAAAGACTCAAAAGTCACAAGTATATCCTGAGTCAATTTGAGCCTGATCTCATAGACCTACAAATCTTCTTAACCTTCTACATAGATAAACTTGATCTGTTTTTCATTGACATGATTATGAGTTACTTGTTTATGGTTTTCAGAGACTGGCAGAAATACTAATTGTTTTTGTGTTAATTGCTCACCCAAACATAATACTTTGAAGTCTTTATTATTGTCCTAGCATGATCCTTGTCCTATGTAAACTTTGTCCAGTCACTTACCAACTGCCACCATGGACCTCTGGTCTGCCCTGATGCTGAATATATACACTTAACTGTCCCACCTGATAGAGAACAAGAACTTCAGGTCACTTCCCCCAAATTCACACAGAAAGTAGCTCAGAGATGTCACTGCCATAAAAAGGGAATTGTAGAAAGTAACAGTAAGGGCCAGGCAAGGTGGCACAGGCCTATAATCCCAGCATCTCAGGAGGCCAGACAGGAGGATCATGAGTTCAAAGAAGCTAGCATCAGCAATGGCGAGGTGCTAAGCATTTCAGTGAGATCCTATCACTAAATAAAATACAAAATAAGGAAATGTAACAGTGGTTCATTTTATGCTCTGCCACTGCAACTTTTTTTTTTTTTCCCATGATAGGTAAATATTTAATCTTTAAAAAAAAAAACAAAAAACTGTTAGCTTATTTTCCTAAGTGGTTGCACCATTTCATGATTGCAACTTATTTTTAAAAGGAACATGTTTCTTCCCCTTTCTCAGTCACTTCTCCTCCCTAATCTCTTCCCAACCCTAATCTTGGGAAGGCAGGGAGGGGCACAGGATGGGACAGGATTATCTTTCTTCCACTTCTGCAGTTATCTGTCCTTGAGCACACACCCACCACTGGAACAAAGTAATTCAGACTTGCCGATGGCACCAAAAAATACAAGAAATGACTCTCTCTCAAATTAACAAGTGAATTACACATGGAAAGTAGCCTTTGATTCAGTTCTTTAAAAATCCCTGTTCCCCTAGATGGGCAGAACCACAGCCTCTGGGACAGGAGTCCTGATATTTCTCCTTTGCTTGCAAAGCAATCAAAATGTTTTCCTTTTTCTCAAAACTGTGTCCTTTTTATTGAACTGGCATTGGGGATAATGATCATGCTTTTGGTAACAACAGTATCGCTACCTCCCAACCAGAGAACAACCTCTGTCCCCACATTTCTACTATAAATTGTTGAAAATATTTGTAGAACAAAAAGCTATCATTCTGAGAAACTCAATCCTCCTTTCAATGACATCAAAGAAAATTCCAAACTTTTCAACTAGATTTAAGGATTTCCACTGACCAATTTAAATTACTCTTACAGTATAAAAGGTCACAAGAAAGTAACTCTACTGCCAGTGTTTCAATTAGTATTATATCCTCAAGATGAATCTTAAAGTCAGCTAATTTATAATATGAGAAGTTACACTTTGGACAAAGCATTGAAGAAAATGCAAATATGAACTATTCTAAATCCTTAAAAAGATGTTTGCTATTTTGGTTCCCTAGAGTTCAGAAATCAAGATGGACTTACCTAAACCAATTCTTTCAAATAGGAAGTACTAACCTGACTGGTAATGCTATTTTCCCATAATAAATACAATCATGTATCGCCCACACTCCCTTCCTACTCTATGCTAAATGCTACTGCCTGCTGGTCAAAAAGATTATTAGTTTTATTCCCATGAATTTTCAAAACCAAAACATTTTTTTTGGGGGGGGGGGGTTGATTTGTTTTGTTTTTTGGTACTAGGGATTAAACTCAGGGGCATTCAATCAATGAGCTGTATCCCCAGCCCTATTTTGTATTTTATTTAGAGACAGGGTCTCATTGAATTGTTTACTGCCTCGCTTTTGCTGATGCTGGCTTTGAACTTGTCATCCTCCAGCCTCAGCCTCCTGAGCTGCTGGGATTACAAGTGTGTGCCACCATGCAGTCCCAAAACATCTAAATAAAGAATTACAGCAAAGTTGTAGGAATGTGCCTAAAATCACCATAGTATAGTCACCTAGTTAAGAACAGACATCTCAGGATAATCTGAGTTTGGATTCCAGTTGTGCTATTTACTTCATTCACCATTAAGTGCTAATTTCCCCATCTTTACTTATTATTTATACAGAGGAAAGCAAAAATAATCAGAGACCAGATCTCAATGGAAAGCAAGCTTTCTTTATTAAGCAACAGAATGGCACATTTTTTTCAGAAGAAAAAATGGCAAATGATTATAGGAGGGGTCTAATTTTTTTTTTACAGGATTTGAGTAAGTTTTGATTCATAAAAATGAGATTTGAAAGCCAAGGTGGCATAGGTCTGTAATCCCAGCAGCTTGGGAGGATGAGATAGGAGGATCACAGGTTCAAAGTCAGCTCAACAATTTAGCTAGACCTTAAGCAACTCAGTTAGATCATGTCTCTAAATAATACACAAAATAGGGCTGAAGATGTGGCTCAGTGATCGAATGCCCCCGAGTTCAATCCCTAGTATCCACCCCCCTCCAAAAAATAAGATTTGAATAATTTGTTGCTGGGAAAGGGTGAATGAATGTCCAGAGCTCAGAGATCATCCCCCAAACAAACTGTCCTCCTTTCTCCTTGACGGTTATATTTCATATCCTTCACACTCTACCCCAACTATATCCTCTGCCCTTTTTGACAGGTCTTGCTAAATTGTTGAGGCTGGCCTCCAATTTGATCCTCTTGCCTCAGCCTCCAATGTTTCTGGGATTACAGGCATGCCCCACCCCACTCAGCAGTTTCCCCATCTTTAAAGTGGGAATAATGATATTTTCTTAATGCAGTTGTTGTGAGGATGATTAAATGAGTTAATATTTGTAAAGCTCTCAAAGATGTCTGGCAATAACCAATATTTTACTGATTTAGACTCTTGCCTCAACAGAATCTCATGGGTTTAAATTTAAAAGCTCTAGAAAAATGGACAAATAAGCTGTCCTATTTTCCCAGCACTCCCTAATTCTATTAATTTTGATTTTTTTTTAAACACTCAGAACATCCCAGGTAGCAAGGAGGATAATACCAATTTTTTTTTTTTTTTGGGGGGGGGAGGCAACCCTTAGTTGTTTGCTAGTTCAAGGTGTACATTCTTCAGTTCAAAAATCTGAATTTGAACTAACCCTGAGGCAGAGGCCTGTGAATCACAGCCGTTCAGGAGGCCAAAGCAGGAGGATCGCTGGCTGGGCCATTTAGCAGAATTGGGTCAAAAAAAAAAAAATTGCTGGGTATGTAGCTCAACAGTGGTATGCGTCCCTGGGTTCAACCAGTATCAAAAAAAAAAAAATAGTTTGAATTTGACCCTCTCTGATCATCCTTTCCCATCACACATACTTTTCAAAACGACTTTTAATAGGTGTATAATTGTACAGAATAGTGGGTTTCACTGTGGAATATTCATACATAGATATAACTTGATCACTTTCACTCTCTAAAAATGACTTTTCTTAAAAGTAAACCATTCCCGGCTATCTTTCTTTTTAAATGTCCACATATGGTCGTGCTTTGGCCATACTCTCCTGCCAAGTTCGTCAAAATTCACTTTGTTCTTATCTTCTCTTAGGGTCACAACCTTAGGAAAGAGCAGAGCATTCCCCTGGGGCACATTAAACTGTGGGTGAACATTAGATGCTTAAACTGACCTTTCTACCAGGTCGGCAATTAAGACCTCACGGAAACGTTAAGTCACTCTGAATTATCAGGAAAACAGGAATAGAAAGAAGCTGGCTCAATTTCCCCCAGAAGCCACTGAGTAGCATCCAGGGGCAAAGCTGAGTCCCCCAGTGCCGACTCCCCTCAGATCGCAGGAGACTGGGCTCCCCTTGCTTCCCCCACCCTACCCCGAGCTTTTAGCGCCCACAATCAAGAGGGGAACCCGGGGAGCCCCGGGCACTGCTCACCGGAGAAGGCCCTGCCCGCGCGCCGGGGTAGAGGGCGAACCACCCGCGGGCACCGAGGGGCGTAACCGGGCTGGGCCTTGACAACCCATACCCGGGGGCAGAGCGCTGTGGCGACGGTGGGCGGCCCGGCAGCGGGGCGACGGCGGGCGGGGCGGAGGGCGGCCCTCCGGGCGCGGCGCGCGTTTCCGGCGTGCGCGGCGGAGCGCCGGGGCGGGGGCACAGCCGGCCCCCAATCGCGCACAATGAGACAGCGCTGAGCGCCGGAAGTGGGACCGAAGGAAAACTCGGAGAGGGAGCCCAGCCGGGACAGGAAGAGGCGGGGGACCGCGGCGGAGGTGGTGAGTGCTCTGGGGCGCCTTCTCCCTGTGTCCCTCCTAGACTCGCCCCCTGGCTGGGTCTCCCGTGGGTTCCTTAGTCTCCAAAGTAGAGGTCGGGCCTGGCCCCATAGGTACGTTGGCTCCATCCTGAGGCGGCCTCCTAGTCCAGTTTCGGTGTCTAGGGATCCTCCAGGCCGGCTAGAACTGAGGTCTCGGGTTCGAGTCCGCCTTTTCACTTTGTGTCAGACTCTGCGAGGGTGGGAGAAGGGATTTGGGTCGAGACACTCGGCCCCGGCCCCCTGGCGGCTGGGGGGACCCCGGAATCCCATCGAAGTGGCGGGTCACTTCCTGCTTCCTGGTCCCCACGGTGGCTTCGTGGCCGGGACTGCGGGTACGCCTCCTACTTTTTCATCTCGGACGGTCAGGGGTGGAAACTGAGGCAGACCGGGGTGGGGCAGTCAAGACAAGAATCGAAAAGGTGTGGCATTCTTTAGAGAATTGCTGTTAGTGACAAAACCAAACTTGTTTAGTATTGAAGAATGAGAAATAGGACGGTTCTCTGGAGTTGTCCTTTGGTCAGAAACCCAGTCCCTTTCATTAGTCCGGAGCCCAGCCCCTCTTGTAGCCCGAGAGATCAAAGCCGGTCTGTTCTGAAATGTGATGAAGCAACTAGAGTGGAGTTGAGAGGAAATGTAGTCTGTTTACATAAAGTTTTGGTTACTTTGTGTAACACTTTAAAGTAATTGCCAACTTAAAAAAATAGACTTTCAGGAGTTCTGTAGCAGTATTGGCTTGGGATGAGGTTTGCTTTTGAAGTTTTCTTTGAAGAGAGGCGCTTTTGTATATAAGTAAAGCTTACCAATGTGATATAACGTTTTACTATAATAGTTTTCCGGATAAGAGGAGCTTTTCTTATTCACAGATTTAGTCTTCACAAAAAATACTAGGTACGAATCCCATGATTGTAGGACTATGTCTCCTAACTTCTAGTGCAATGCACTGATTATTAGGAATGTGATAGAAATTTAATTAAAAGAAAAAAAGGAAAGGTTTCTTACACACTTTTGGGCATCAATATGATATGGCATTTTGTGTACTTGGTATCATATCTTGTTGTATTTAATTGTTTTCCCGAAATGCCTTCTTTCAGGTGCAAAGAAAGAAAATTGAAGTCAAAGACCATGGGAGATGCAGCAAAACCTTATATTGTGAAGCGCAGTAAAGATCGAGGACCTGTTGATGATGATGATTTCAGAAGGGGTCACCCCCAACAAGATTATTTAATAATGGATGATTATGCTAAAGGCCATAGCAGTGAAATGGAAAAAGGCCTTCCGAAAAAAAAGCTAACTCCTGGGAACTATGGGAATACCGCGAGAAAAGGATCATACGCTGTTTCCAGCAATCCATATGCATTTAAAAACCCAATTTACAGTCAGCCCACTTGGATGAATGACAACCACAAAGATCAGAATAAGAGGTGGCTATCTGATGAACTTACTGGTAATTCAGACAATTGGAGAGAGTTTAAACCTGGACCTAGAATTCCTATCATAAGCAGACCAAGGAAAGATGCCTTTCAAGAAAGTGAAGATGGTTACAGGTGGCAAGATGGAAGAGGCTGCAGAACTGTAAGAAGACTGTTTCATAAAGACCTAACAAGCCTAGAGGCCATGTCAGAAATGGAAGCAGGAAGTCCTGGTAATGTGTTCCAACTTGTAAGGTTATAGCCCAAAGTCAACAGTGTCTTATTCTTTTTCATCCAAATAAGTTTTATTTTCAGCAGTGAATTTCCAATTTTTCATAGTATATGTTTTCAGAAGTGTTAATTTATTTAATGTGATTATTTTAAGGTTTATAATCATGACATTTGGGCACCTCTAACACATTTCATATATTGGTCCTTTCAAAAGTTTACCTCACTGGGGGTGTAGCACATGCCTGCTAATTCCAGCAACTTGGTAGACTAAGGTAGGAGGATTGCAGGTTCAAGGTTACCTTTAGCAACTTGGCTCTCTCAAAATAGAAAAAATTTAAAAAAAGGGCTGAGGATGTAGCTCAGCGGTGAAACACCTCTAGGTTCAATCCCCCATACTAAAAAAAAATTTTACCTCAAGGCTTATTTTACTTTAGTGAACATATTTTCATACAGTAAAAAATATGTTTTTTATAGAAGGAGGGTATCATATCCCCCTAGGGACCATAGCATAATTTCTAAGTGGTATTATGTATTTTTAAAATTATGTTTATAATTTTGTATTTAGGGCTGGAATTGTGGCTCAGAGCTAGAGTGCTCGCCTAGCACGTGCGAGGCCCTGGGTTCGATCCTCACCACCACATAAAAATAAATGAAGATATTGTGTCCAACTACAACTAAAAAATTTTTAAAAAATTGTATTTAAATAATGAACATGTCCATTATATAAGTGACAGTATAAAAGTAAAACAAAAAAGATTCAATGTGAAAACACAATATAGACTGAATATATTGCCTGCCAAAAGAAGGATTTGTCTTTTGGGTGAAGTATCAATCTCCAGAGGAGAACAACCCATGGTTTTTGTTTTTCAAGAGCTGTCAGGTGCAGTTAGTTGCATGCATCTGTAGTCCCAGCCCTGAGGAGACGGAGGATCACTTGAACCTAAGAATTGGAGGCCAGTCTGGGAATTCAGCAAGTCACCATCTGGGGGGAACTAGGGGTATAGCTCAGTGGTAGAACACTTACCTAGCTTGTGCAAGGCCATGGAGGGGTAGGGGTGAGAGGGTAAGCATGGCAACAGAGATTGGGAAACATGAGTTTAGAAAGTCAGAATACAGAAAAAAGCTTTGCTGTTTGTTTTCAGTAAATAACAACCCATTTCTAAGTGCCTTCACATGCTTGATAATAATTACCCCAGAGTGATTATTTATACTTTTTTCTGAAAGGTTCAAGGTAGATAATGTCCATGTAGCAATGATTTCTATAATCAGGAAGGTTATTTTTATCTAATGGATATATTCACTGAGGTGAGGGGAAGTCATAAATTGGATGGGAAAAATGAAACATAGTATTTAAAAATGGGCTTTTATGTTTATTGGCTGAAAGTCTTTTGTAGTGACCATGTAGAATGAATTGTAAACTGTCCAAATCAAATTTTTTTTAAACTTTTTTTTTTTTTTAATTTAAATGTATTCAGGCAAATGTGGGTACTTTTCTAAGTCTCCAGATGCCTCTTTCTTCATGTTGTCTCAGTAGCCAGTTCATATATGTGTTACTTGCAAGGCACTTGAATTTGGGACTCATGCATATAGAATGCTTAAAAAGGAAAAGCTCTTTTTTTTTTTTAAATCATTAGACAGTCTTAGTACAAAGTGAAAATCTCAAGCACTTGTTAATATTAAATGGGGGAAAAGGAAAAAGGAAAGTTAAAATTAATGCTAACATCAAGGAGCAGAGACAGAATGCAAGATTATAAAAGAATTAAAATAATAGGTAGAGGTAATACCTTAGCGTTACATGTCGTTAAGCCTGAAAAGAACTTGAAGGAATTTTCTGATGGAGCACTGTTATGATACAACAAAGGTGGAATCACAGTTTTACAAATTAGGCAGTTGCAGTTTGGAGAGTTTAAATTTATCCACACTTGTTTATTCAAAGTGGTAGATGAGGAAGTAGAACAGTAGTGGGGACTCCGTCGCCCTGGCCATTAAGTAATTCTCACTAGACCCAGAATCCAAATAGGGAAACTGAACATTTATTGATAATTTCTGGGCTTCTAGTTTTTGTTTTTCTTTTTTATATTGTATATTTGTATTTATGTATTGCAGTGTCCATGTGGAATGTGGACATTAAATTTAATTATCAATGCTTGTCTTTTATAAAAGAAAAAGTTGAAAAGCATTTAAAAATGAAGGTTTACAGATCAAAAATTTGCAGCTAGACAATACAAGGTGCCATTTGGAGACCCAAAAAGTAGTTCATGTATTCTTATTTGGTGTTAGGAATAACTAAGGAAGTTGTTCAAATTGAATAACTGTTATTCAGTTTAATATCTAAACTTTGCTCTTCATTTAAAGGATCCTAAAAAGGATCTCATTAAAGGGATCAAAATGTCCTTAAATCAAAATGTGTCTTAATAGAAGGATCTTATTGAAACTGTGAGAAAATATAATGAAAATAATGTTACTTTTTTTTAATACCATCTTTTCTGTTTATCAGTTTACATTACTGTTTCTACCTCATCTCTTAAATGTCCTAGGTTGCAATTTAACATATTTGGGAAAATGCCATTAATTATTTTAGCTGGAAAACATCCACTCAGATACACATGTCCTTTGTGAATGGGCTAATGGACCATATTCAAATAAAATCTGGGAAAATTCAAATACTAAATATAGAGATCTCTTATTACAATAAATTTGGAATGAGCTAGATGGTCTTCCTCCATTATGGGAATTTTTTAGCAATACCCAGTTATACCTTCTAAGAATCCCTCCAATGAGATTTTGACAGTTTATACCTGCAGGCCTGTGAGATTTAGTTCAGGAGGTTATACTGCTATCAGTTTCTAGTCTGTTCTAGATGTGAGTCTGTATGTGCCTCAAAGAGATTTTGTAGTAATTTTTATTTTTTCTGTTTCAAGATGAAAGGCCGAATTTCAGGATCCATCCATATTTTAATCTGTATTTCAAATCCCTTTCCTTTGACTTTGTCCCGTATCCTTGAACAGATTATTAATTCTCTTGGACTGGCATTGTCCCCATCTGTACAATGGGGAAAATATTAATATCCGTGTCAGGATTACTGTAGGGATTAAACGAGAGCAGCACACAGAAAATGCTTGCTTTACATCTGCCACATAATAAAATAGTAATGGTAGCTACTGTTATCGTCATCTGGCAGAATTTCTGTAGCCATGCTACAGATAAAAGTAATTGGAGTTAATCATGGTCTTTGGTGAGAGATGTCAATCCTTAGAAAATGACAGCAAATAGTTATATGGGAAAGCTTTTGTCAACAAGAGAAAGGAAGTTAATGAAGGAACTTGGTTACATATCAATTACTGTTGTGAATATGAGACTTTTCTAAAAAGGTGTTGCACATGTTGAAACTCTTTTTTGAGTATTTGCCTAAGTAAGAAGTTTCTGTCATGTTCTGAACACTGAAGTCAAATGTATTTATTTAGAAAAAGATACTAATAAAATAAATAAAGATTAAACTAATAATAATTAAATGAGAATGAACACATTTTTAAGTTAAGGGATGGTCATCTCAAAAATTTATTAAGACAATAAGTACTACTGGCTTTAAAAGTTTGTGATAATTGGGGGAAGAAGTATTGAGGTAGCCTGATGATTTCCTAGTCAAATACTATTAATCTTTTGATGTTTTATTTGCTCAGTCTTTTTTTTTTTTTTTTTTTTTTAAGAATTAAGCCCAGGAGATCGCCAGCACCACCAAAAAAAGAAAAAGAATTGAACCCAGGGTCACTTTACCACTGAGCTGCATCCCCAACCCATTTATTGGTTGATTGATTGACAGGGTTTCACAGAGTTGCTAAGGCTGGCCTTGAACTTGGGATCCCCCTGTCTTAGCCTCCCAAATTGCTGGGATTTTAGGCATGAGCCATAGTGCCCTGCTGCTCAGTCCATTTTGATTTTTTTAAGTGCATTTTTCCCTAATATTGTTTAGTTTTTAAAAAACTTTCACTTATTATAGAAGCTTTTTGTCAAATTTCATTACATTCATCTCATGTGTATTGAGCATATTGCTTACTATTTGTGTGTTAGAGTTCTTAGCTATAGTTTTGTGTGTTTTTCCATGCTGTGGATTGAACCCATGGCCTCATGCATACTAGGCAGGTGCTGTACCACTGAGCTACATTCCCCAGCCTCAAAATAGCCTTTTTGAAAACTGGAGGTCCTATACTTCCATTGACACTGAATTTTTTTACAATTAGTTAATTCATTGTAATTTGCTCACTAGTAATGAGTTAATGAGTTCTGAAAAATTGAGAGGAATTTGCCTCATGCTGGGCAGTAGGTTTATATTTCCAAAAAGTAATTTGTATTAAACCATTGCACATGATTCCATCCACTTAACAGAATTTTAATTTGGAAAACAAATTTTAGTCATATTATTAATAACTTTATTTTTCTCAACTTATTGTTAGAAGTCACAGATGTACTTAAAACAGTGTTTATGGTTCAGTCTCACCACCATCTTCTCTTTCACAGGTTGAAAGTTGTAAACTTAAAAAAAAAGAACTGATTCATTTATTCTAGAAATTATAGAAGTAACAGCAGGAGTTTATAAGCAGATAAATTTTTGCTTAGAAAAAAGCCTTTATTTTAACTACCAATTGTTTTTTCCTTTGATATGCTAGGTGTGCAGGTGGCTCAAAAAATCTAAAATGAAAGTAAAAATAAAATGGGAAATGGTGCCCTCAGCAGATGAAATTTTATATTTCTTCCCATTTCTGGTAGACCCCAATTTTATGTCTTGAAAGGCTTAATTTACAACTAAATGATTTTTTTTTCACTGCTCATAAGGATTTCTGAATTCTTGAGAAGTATACAATAGTGTCCACTTCACACTATTAAGATTGGTCACTTAAAAAATAAAAGCAAACGTGGGAAGTTTTCATTACTACAGATGTAGTAACAAGTATAATAAAATATTAGGTATAATGTAGATTATATATGTTAGTATATTAGAAAATTCTAATATGGAATATATTAGAATTACATATATACTTGCCATCAGAGGATAATTTTTACTCTTGATTTAGAATGCTCAGCAGCATATCGGGAAGAAAGAAAATCAAATTGTATTATCAAAGCAGAATTCTTTCCTTTTTTTTTTGGTGCCAGGGATTGAACTGAGCGGCACTCAACCACTAAGCCACATCCCCAGCCCTATTTTGTATTTTATTTAGAGACAGGGTCTCACTGAGTTGCTTAGCACCTTGATAAGTTGCTGAGGCTGGCTTTGAACTCACAATCTTCCTGCATCAGCCTCCAGAGCCGAGCCATTGGGATTACAGGCGTGTGCCACTATGCCTGGATAAATTTTTTTTTTCCTTCTTGTTTCTTCTTTTTATTGTTAGTGCACTTAATTAATAGTAAGGTTTGTTTTGACATATTCATAAAAACATATGACAGTTTTCTTCATTCCAGCAGAATTCCTTTGAAGTTATGGTATTTCTGTGGATTGGTATATCACAGATGATGTGCTTAGTGATTATTCAAACATTTTGTCCATGGAGATCCACCTTTCCCTTTGCTCTGTGTTCAGATGTGATTTATTCTGTCATGCCATTTAATTAATAAATAGGTAAATTCTGCTTTTTATCCAGAAGAGGTATAATTCAATATTGCCAATAATATTTTTCCCCTAACTTAAGAAAACAAGAAGCAGCGGTCCAGACCCAGGAAACCAAGGAGGACTAGAAATGAGGAAAATGAACAGGATGGAGAGTTGGAAGGCCCTGTGATTGACGAGTCTGTGCTTTCGACAAAGGAGCTACTGGGCTTACAGCAGGCTGAGGAGCGTTTGAGGAGAGACTGCATTGACAGACTAAAAAGGGTAACAGCTATGAGCATGTATTTGCTAATAAAAATCCTTGTTCTGGTTTAAACTGTGTTAGTAATTGGAAATACCAGCTTTGATGAATTCGGAACCCTACTTTTTTAAAGTTAAAATAACAAGTGTTTATTTTTAACAGGCATATTATTCTGAAAATATACTAATGAACTTGCTATACCATGAAACCTCCTCCCTTAAATCTCTCCTTCCTCAGCCCCATCCTGTAAGAAATACTTTAGGATCAGGCTTCTCCTCTAATCACTTCCTAACTTCTCTAGGTAGTCTTCTTTTGTCCTGAGGAATCTTTTGGGATAATTATTGTACCCTGTTGTGGCACTTTGCATTGTCAAAAAGTTCCCCTTGTAATTCAGTGATTTTATTTCCTTCTGGGGGTTAAAACTTTTTTTCACATGTTCTGAAGTCCTAGGACCTGCCCATCATACAAATAAGCCTACCTCCCTTTTGAGGTATACTACTTGGATTATCAGTATTTAAGTATTACACATTGAAAAGTATATTCATTATGAGGCAATAGAATTCCAAATAGTTGCAATTGTACTTAATTAAAAATTACTATTAAGATAGTGATAAAGCAAGACAGTAACATAGTGTCGGTTTTTAAACTGAAGGGGAAATCATTTTTCTGGCTTATTTTTTTTCCCCTGGATGTTTGGAGATATACCTTTTGATTAATCTGTTTAAATTATAGCGACCACGAAACTGCCCTACAGCAAAATACACCTGCAAACTCTGTGATGTTTTAATTGAATCCATTGCATTTGCTCATAAGCATATCAAAGAGAAGAGGCACAAGAAAAACATTAAGGTAAGTTTTATGTGACCCAAACTGTTGTTTTTACCTATCAGTTGTCATTGTCATTTTTCTTCTCCTTAAAGCTATGAATATTAATAACTTTAATTAACTTCTTGAAATTGTTTTAACCAAAATACTTTTAATTAATCAGATGTGTTTTCTGGGCAGTCTTTTGAATTTCCTTAAGTATAAAATCAGGGTATAGGAAATCACAGTTAGGACCTATATGTGTCCTTATGACAGTAATAAAAAAAATAATCAGACTGTCATTACTGGTTTTAATGCTCTTTTCTTACACTTTCTCCTTGTTCCTGCTTACTCTCTATTGTCACTGATCCAAATTATATGCATAAAGTGTGTATATGTTTGTTACAATAAAGACAAACACAGCTAAGATGAAAAGGAGGGCTAAAAACAGATTCCTGAAAATTCTATAGGGTGTTGTCTCAGTGAAACATAAAAGGTAAAACCTATGTATGAGCCATTTTTAATTTGAACATTGATCCTAAAAGGAGAAGCAGGAGGAAGAGTTGCTCACTACGTTACCCCCGCCAACACCCTCCCAGATAAATGCAATTGGCATTGCCATTGACAAAGTGGTACAGGAGTTTGGCTTACACAATGAGAATTTGGAACAGAGGCTAGAAATCAAATGTATCATGGAAAATGTGTTCCAGCACAAGTTACCAGGTATTTTCTAGATTTCTTTTTTCTACTTAGCTACTTAAAAGTAACTCGTTCATATTTCAAGTAATTTTCACCTCATAAAATTCATTTGTTATGTACTGAAGCTTTTTTCCTTAGTGAGTATGTTTGTTGTTGTTGTGTTTGGTTGTTATTTCTCCTGGCTTCTCCAAAGGTAACAGACTTTAAACATTCATTGCCACTGTGAACCTGTTTTCATTATAAATATTATTCTCTTATAAAATTCAATATGGTTAATTGCCCTATATTGGGGCACTGTGGGACTCTTGTATGTATTTGTTTACCTTTCCATCTGAATTGACAGAATACTTTTTAATTAAAATAGCTGGGCACAATGGTGCAAATAATCCCAGCAGCTCAGTAGGCTGAGTCAGGAGGATCTAAAAGAGCTTTGAAAAACTAGTTTATAAATAATTTTATAATGGGTTTTGTGTGCTGTTCAGTTGATATTTTGAAATTATATCTATTTTTATTTTAATTTTTTGAGACAGAGGTCTCACTGTGTCACCCAAGCTCACCTTGAACTCCTGGACTCAAATGATCCTCTTGCCTCGGCCTCCTGAGTAGCTGGAACTACGGGCACACACCACTGACTTGCATTATTTTTCATGTAGACTTTAGTGCAAAATAGGGGAGGGAATACAATGTTTGGAGTAAACTGCTTATAAAAATTTAAGGCTGGGTATGGTAAATGCTTGACACTGCAGCTGCTAGTCTTGATAGGAACAACCCTTGCCAATGAAAGGTCATTGGCCTTCCTATTTAGATAAATGATTGGAATAGCTTAATCATCCTCAATTTTGCCATAAATAAGAATTATCTGTGGAGTCATGGACAATTACTTTTAGAAAATTTCACAAGTGATTCTGATTCACAGGGCTAGACTCATTATTTATGTATATATCACCTTATAATTCTTTAAACTATTTGTTCCTGGAGATCATGCAAGTATTTATAACATGTATACATGGATACATATACATATAATTTTTACAAGAATAGGAGGGAAGTTCAACTCATTTCAATACATAGGTATTTCCCAAATAGTAAATTTTAATTTCACTGATTTTTGCTATGAAATTCCATGTAAAATTAAACTTTTTTATAGAAAACTCCTATTTATCAATTTTTGCAGAACTGGGGGATTAAACCTAGGGGATTAAACCATGTGCTAGGCAAGTGCTCTACCACTGATCTACATTCCCAGCTCTATCTATCTATCTATCTATTTATTTATTTTGAGGCAGGATATTATTAAGTTGCTCACACTGGCCTCCTTATCCTCCTGTGTCAACCTCCTGAGTCACTGGGATTGTAGACATGGACTATCACACCTGATTTGTTAATAGAAAACTCTTGAAGCCAGGTATGATGGTTCACAACTGTAGTCCCAGCACTTAGGAGGCTAAGGCAGGAGTTTGAGTCCAAACTGGACAACATAGTAAGTCCCCATCTGAAGAAAAAAATATGCATCTTAAACCCCAAAGAAATCATTTGAATTGGCAAACTTGAAGGAAGAAAATGTCCTCTTGATAAGAATGGGTAATATTTTGGCAAAAATAGTAAAATATTGAAAATAAATTCCATAAATACATATGGAAGATACACATGTTAACACTTATATCCTCCTCTGAAAAGGAAATGTATACTGCCTAGCATATTAAGATATCGGTTATATTGTAATTATTTTGCAAGTTTTTCTCAAGGGATTGCATTATATCAAATACTTTTTGTTTGTGAGTAATTTGTATTATAAAATAAGTAACAAAAAATATTTGCATTAGCTCTTGACTATACTATAAAGTTTATAAGTGTAAAATAGACATCCCTTTTCAGCTTTCTTATTTTGAAAATTATTGCCAATAGTTTTCTACACAAAATGCAAGAGTGATAAAATAAAAATTTTTATTTAAAGTGTTTTGCAACTGACTTGAGATCAATAGTCATTAAACCAAACCAGTCATTGCTGTCTTCCCTGTTACATAAAATTAAGGGATGAGCAAATAGCCACCTATTCCTGTCCTTTGTTGGTGACATACATTACAGTTTTGCTTTTGTATGTAGTTTTAATTGATGGTTCATTTCTGAAATAGCAGTGTTTTGTTACAACTTTTTGAGAAATTTTACTCTATTTATGCCTTCTATGTATTTATTTATTTGTAGATTGTTCTCTAAGATTATATGGGTCTTCCTGTAGCAGATTGGGTTTCAAAAATTCGGATGTAAACATTGACATTCAATTTCCAGCCATTGTAAGTACAAAATGAAATGTTGAAATTTTCAGTGGTATGGAAATTCTTTCTTTCAAATTGTCTTTATTTCAAATTGAACTGTGTGTGAATATATTTTAGATACGTAAAGATACTTTAATGGTGACACCTATTTTCTTAAAAGTTCCATTTTTATGTCTTGCCTGTTTTCAGCTTCAGGTTCAGAGAATTCTTATGCTCCATAGATTTTCAATCTTGTTTATTTTACACTACAGATCTTTCATACTTACTTGTAACACTGGTTTTCTAACCATGTGAATCTTATGGGGATATTTAGGTTTCTGTTAGCTTGGAAAGCTTAAATTCTTGGTAAAATCAACTTTCCATTAATAGGAAAAGAATTCAGGTTTTAAACAGTGTAGATTTTTAAACATTTATGATCTGAAAGCTTAATGAGCCTCCGAATTTCCTATTTTTATATATCAATTTTGTTAAAATATTGTTTTTTTTTTTTTGAACAACCACACCCAGCCTCGATTTCTGGGTTAAATGTAATTCAAAAAGACATTGACAGTCAGAATTTTAAAACTGGAAGGAACTTAAGTAGATTATCTGCTTACCCACTTCGTCATTCTCATAGGTCAGTTTGCAGAAGGTGTATCCTACTTTGGTTACTCATTAAAAGTATAGACTCTGAGATTCCACCCCCAGATATTCTATTTTATAGCCTCTTGTTCCTTGCTCTGAGTAATGTAGTTACTTAGTCAGCTAACCAGTGGATTTTGCTCTTCTTTTAATCTTAAATTCTGATCAGTGAAATTACTAACCATAGCAGTTATTTTGTTCTGACATCATTCATTCATTCATTTAACAAATATTCACTAAATACCTGTTGTATGGCAGGTACTATACTCGATTCTAAAGGAAAAAACAAATGCAGTTTCTCTTTCACAGAACACATATCTAGTTAAGGAGATAAGTAGTTACTTATATTATTAATTATAATGAGAGTTGTGCAGAAAAATAGGGTTCAATAACAGAAAACAGGAACTGTGAAGAGATGCCACAGTCATGGAGGCCTCATTGAAGAGGGAACATTTAAGCTGAACTCTGATTAGGATGGAAGGTAGGCTGAAGCCCCATATGCAGGATCTCATAGGCCATGGTAAGAATTTTACTTTGATCTACAGTCAGTGAAAAGTCATTGATACGTTTTAAGAATCCAGTTCATGATTTTTAATGGTTTTGATTCCACTGTGGAACAAGATTTAGAGTTGGAACCAGTAAGCTATCTGTTGTAATAGTCTTACAGAGTGAGAGGAAATGTCATTAGTAGTGTAACAACTTCCAGCTACCACTTTGAGATTTTCTAAAAAGCTAATTACCTCAAGAATTAATTAACCACAAATTAAATGTATAGTAGGTCTCTTGCCCACACTCATCCTCATTTGGTTTTCATCTGTCTTTCTGTCTTTGACGTACATAGACACTGCATAATGATTAGTTCTTTATTCTGGTACCAATGTTCATTTCTAATTTGGGAAACAATATTGGGAACTTTAGACTGTGTATTTTATCGTGAAGCAAAATTATTTAGGGATTATTTCATGTATTCATTCATTTATTTCCTAGATGTCTCAGCCAGATGTCCTCTTAATTGTTCAAGAATGTTTAAAGAACAGTGGTAAGGTCAAATGCTTTGTACACTTTGCTCTTAATATTTTCTTTTCTCTATAAATTTTATATAACTTATTACTCAAACTCTGAAAATAGAAACTCATGCTTTTAAAGTTTTTTTTTCTTTTGCTTTTTTGTTACATTATAATTCTACATAATAGTGGAATTCATTACGCCTTATTTGTACAGGCACATAACATAATTTGATTAATTTCATTCCCCAGTAACTTTCCTTTCCCTCCCTTCCTCTCTCCCTCTTAAAATTATTGATAAGTGTAATATCCAAAGCAAAAAAATTAAAGCAAATGGCCATGATTTATTAACTAGCTAGCATTCTAGTAGTAGTTCTATGTCTCAAAGCTTTTAGCTTGCTGATGACATCACTATAAAGATTAAATGAGGGCTTGGGCTGTAGCTCAGTGGCAGAGCACTTCCTACCATGTGTGAGGCACTGAGTTTGATCCTTAGCAGTACATAAAAATAATATACATAAAGGTGTTCTGTCCATCTACAACTACAAGAAAAATTTTTTAAAGCTTAAATGAGTCTTAGAGTGTGACGAAGAAATGCAAAATATGCATAATTTAGTCTTGAGAGTAAAATTAAAGAATAATATACTGTATCCAGTGGTTCAAATTAATGTTTTATAAAGGTGCAGTAAGTGTGGCCCAATCCTGATTAATGAATTCATAAATAGTTGTTCCCATGTAAGTTTATCCGTTGCCTTTTCCAATATACTATCCAACTTAGAGCTTTATGACTTTTTTTGCTTTCATAACCTCACTAATTTTCCCTTGAAGTAGTCATCCCCTGTCCTTTTTGTTTTGATTGAATAAAGCATTTAAATATTTTTTTATTTTAGTCAATACATATTTTGACACTGAAGATTTCAGTAGCCTTTGTATCAATGTTGTTTTTAAATCATATGTCTATATTTCTAATTAGGTTACCCTCATAATATTTAAATATTGTGATCCACTGGCGTAGTTACTTTTAATTAAACATAAGCTTTATAAAATAATGATTTTAAATTAATGTGATTACTTGATTCTTGAATATAACATTTTTTTTCTTTTTTCAAATCCCTTCAGAATTTTATTTAGTAGTTGTCTTTCAAAATGGCTGAATAGATAAGCCACACATGGTACTTGGGTCCTTGTACTTTATCTCATTTTGCTTGTAACAAAGCTTTAATTAACCTACTTAACATGTGTTTTCTTCTTTCCTCAGACTCCTTTATTGATGTTGACGCAGATTTCCATGCAAGGGTACCGGTGGTAGTATGCAGAGAAAAGCAAAGGTCTCTGTTTCTTTAAGCTGATCATTAGGTATCAGCTTGCCAAAAGCACAAGGACTTTGCTAAATCTTAATTCCAACTTTGAAGTTATAAGCTATACCTTATATGGTTATCTCATGTTTCTTACTAGCATTCTGTCTATACTTTGGCATTTGATGCAAGAGAGGGAAAGAAATCTTATTTTAAAAAGAGTAAAATTACCTAGAGGGAAAAATTATAAGGAAGCATTTGACCCATTTTAACTAAGTAAAAAAACAACCTTATCAAATGGTTACTTGCTTTAATCACTTTTTACTTGCCATCCTTTTTACCAGCATTTGTGGCAGTGCTGAATAGCTGTTAATGTGACCTCCCCTGTATAGGTCTCCCTCCATCTGGAAACATAACTATCACTACCATGAATGGGTGGCTTATAAGCAATAATGACTCTTCACCAACAGATTCCTTAACTCTTGTAAAAACACCATTTGAAAAAATGAGACAAGTCATGCTCCCATTTGAAATATTTCATAATATTTTCCTTATTTGCATGTTCCCCCCCAAAATAATTTTAGCATATTAAAACAGAGTTCTTCTGAAAATATAGTTTGTTCAATAAGTAACTGTCGTGTCTTTTTTTTTTTTTTTTTTTTTTTAATTCAGTATTTTTAAATGACCTATGAAGATGTAGGGAGTTTTAGGGGTTTTTTTTTCCATTTTTTAAAAAAGTTATTATCAGTGTAAATTAGCTACTGGTGTAAAAATGTACTGATACCTATGTAACACACCTTTTTCTCTTTCTTTTTCATTCCCAACTTCACCGGCACACCCACCAGTGGTCTTCTTTGTAAAGTGAGTGCAGGAAATGAAAATGCTTGTCTGACAACAAAGCACTTAACTGCACTCGGAAAACTAGAACCAAAGCTGGTTCCTTTGGTGATTGCATTTAGGTACTGGGCAAAGGTAAGTTAGACTTCATTAAATGCATGTGTGTATTCTGTGAACTTAACTGCGCTTTAATTTTTACTGGGTTCATTTAACCTTAAATGTTTAGAAAAATACCTATAGACATCAAAAGAGAAAGTATCTGAATATTGGAATAGAAACACTATACAGAAGGAAAATTTAAGGTTTCTGTTTCATTACAACAGTATTGCTTAAAAGATCAAAATGACTTATAATGCTTATTAGAAGTCAGATTTGGGTCAAATCCCAAAGGATGTAGTCAAAGAATTTACAATCTTAACTAGTTTCCCAGGGTAATACTTAGGCACTGTAAAGTTTTAGAAAATAATTCTCATAACCATTTTCAAGAAGAAATCCAAGGATTACATAAAGAAATGAAAAATACTATATCTGGTCTTGCCTATATCTACAATGTTTTAAATACATTCTCCCAGTTGATATGCTGTAATAATCATTAGAGCACTTAATATTCCCCCATAGTATAAGGTCAGATCATAATGATAAAATTGATATTCTATAAGGTGCCTTATATAAAGAAAAGCAAAAATCTTACTGATTGAGGTATAACAGTGATAAGAGATAGTTCCAATTTCTTGGATCCAGGATCAACACAGGATACCCCACTCTTGCTGGATGAATTAATAATTACAATATGCTCCTCTTTGAAAACTCTCTTCTGCTTCATCACTATGTAGGCCATGCTCTTTTAGGTGTTATTTTAATTAGTACTGATGGGTTTGCCAACATTCTCTCCCCAAATTGCCTTTGTGACCAAAGCATGCATTTGCAGGACTGTAAAAGTTGAGAGGACCCTTAAGCTAAGCAAAATCAGTTGGAACTGAACGATCATTTGTATTTCATTAACATGTGTCTTAACTAAGTGAGTGGATTTATTGTAGATGTCAAAAAAATGAAACAGTAAATAGTATTTTAGGGCCTTCCATGAGTAAGTTAACAAGATTAAATATTTGAAATTGAAACTCTTTCAAAACCACAGTATGTGGTTACTGCAAAGGAATAGGAAGTTGTCTATTTGTATCACTTTGCTGGGGGGGAGGGATTGTTGTTGCTTTGTTTTTTGGTTTGTTTGTGGAGTTGGTGATCAAATCTTGAGCCTTATACATGCTGGACAAGTGCTTTACCACTGAGCTATACCCCTGCCCTTTATTGTGCTGCTTTATTCAGAATAATCACTATATATCATATAATATATGTGTATTAGTCAGGGTTCCCTAGAGGAACAGAATCAGCAGGAAGTATAATTACAAAAAGAGAATTTCTCAGGCGACCAAAAGCTAGATAGTCCACAGTGGTCATCTACAGGCAGAGAGCTGGAAGAACCAGCAACTGCTCAGTCCAAGGAGCTGAAGCCCCAGAACAAGTGCTATCCCAAGCTGAGACTGAAGGCTTCTGGAGAATCACTGACAGAATCCACTTTGGAAGAGTGAAAAAGTGAGAGCCCCATATCATCAATCACGGCTGCAGTCAAGAACTCGATCATGAAAAATCAAGCTTGTATCTGCTGTTGCTGTCATGTTCTTCCATCTTTTATTTCATCCAAACCATCATTTTATTGTATGGTGCTGCCCTCACTTAGGGAGGGTCTCCATTTTATTTGGCTGTTCCACATGCCAGTTATTCCTAGACACACTGTCATCAACACACCTTCTGGTTTCTCTTAATCCAATCAAGTTGACAATTCTAATTAACCATTACAATATGGGAATGGGTTGCAGGTTTTAGGCCAAGTTATTTAAATCACAAATTGATGCAAAAAAAAAAAAATGCAAATTCTCTTTTCTCTCACTTATAGCTTTGCAGTATAGATCGCCCTGAGGAAGGAGGCCTGCCACCTTACGTGTTTGCCCTTATGGCCATTTATTTTCTTCAACAGAGGAAAGAACCTCTTCTGCCAGTTTATCTAGGCTCATGGGTATGAAACTTTTTTGCTTATATATCCGATTGATTGATTATAGATCTACAATTCCTTATGCATAATTTCAAAATTTAAAAAGCTAACCAGAAGTAAAATAGATTTGTTTGTTTTACTGGTATTCACATCTTTCATTGCTGAAATGTTAATATGATTACAAGATGCCGATCTATACCTTGCTAGGGGTATTACTACATTTTTAGCCTATAAATCTTAGTTTTTGAAACACCTGTGGACCTGAAGATTTCAAACAAGAGACTTTGAATCTATGTTAAGTTTATCTTTTGACACATTCTTTGGGTACAGCACTCTAATTCGATACTTAAACTTATATATCATCTTCAGACAGTATATGAAGCATTTGTCTCTCTGAAATGGACTTCAATTCATGTACGTATACATGAATGAATGAATGAATGAATGAATGAATATGAATTTTTGCTATGTTGCCTAGGCTAACCTCAAAATCCTAGGCTCAAATGACCCTCTTGGCTTAGCTTCCTGAGTAACTGAGTCTACATGCATATACTACCATGACCAGTGTAGCTTACTTTCTATTTCTGGTTTTTTGCTTCTCTTTATATCCCATGACCTGTAAAACAATAAAAGCATCAAGATTACTAACTATACAAGATGCAGAGCTTATAGTCAACTCTTCAATAATATTTTGGTTTTATCTTTAAGGTGAATTAGACTTTAATAATGTAATCTGGAGGGGCTGGAGTGGTGGCTCAGTGGTAGAGTGCTTGCCTAGCATGTGTAAGGCACTAGATTCAATTCTCAGTGCCGCATATAAATAAATAAAATAAAAAGCTCCACTGACAACTAAAAAATATTTTTAAAAAACAATAATAATGTAATCTGGATAAATTAAAGTTGAGGAGGCTGAGGCAGGAGAATGATGAGTTAAAGACTACCCTAGACAACTTAGCAAGACCTGAAAAAAATTAAAGTTGAGTTTATTTGAACCACTATGGAAATTTGTCTAGAGGTTTCTCAAAAGACTAGTAATGGAACCACAGTGTGACTAGCTATACCACTCTTTAGTACTTATCCTAGAGAATTGAAGTCATTATACTATAGTAATACATGCACACTCATGTCTATAGCAGCACAATTTATATTTGCCCAAACTACTGAACCAGCCTAAGTGTCCATCAGCAGATGAATAGATAAAGAAAATGTGGTATTTATACACAATGGCATTTTATTCCACCATAAGGATAAATAAAATTTGTCATTTGCTGGATATGAATGGAACGTGAGAACATTATATTAAGCAAAATAAACCAAACTCAGAAGGTCAAGGGTTGTATGTGATCTCTCATGTGTGGAAGCTAGAGAGGAAAAAGGAAAAGAAAAGTGGGGGTAAGGAAGTCGTATGAAAATCAAAGGGAAATCAGAGTAGAGGAAAGGGACCAGGGGGTGGGAAGGGGAAATACTAAAGAATGACATTAGCCAAATTACGTTGTTATATTATATGCGTGTGCAAATACATAACAACAAATCCCAGTTATATACAACTATAATGCACCAATAAAAAAATGTAGAAAAAAACCATAAAAAACAATTGAGTTGATTTGTTTAATAAGTCTAATAAGAAGCCACTGAAAGGTCAAAATTATGCTATTGCTTCTGGAACCATTTTTAATCTCTACATGTTTATCTTGGTATATTCTTATGTGTGTAGGTATTTTATAGAAAGCCTTATTTACTGAAAAGCTTACTTTTACACATTGAATATTTTCACTGCTTTTTGTCTTACTTAATAGCACACAGTCTTCTCTTGAAGAAGATGTTCAGTTGGCCATGGTATCACATGCCTGTAATCCTAGCAACTCAGGAGGATAAGGCAGGAAAATCACAAGTTGGAGGCCAGCCTGGGCAATTTAAATCCTTTCTCATAATTTAAAAAATAAATAAATAAAAGGGCTAAGGATCTTGCTCAGTGGTAAAGTGTCCCTGGGTTCAATCCCTAGTACTCCCCCCCCCCACACACACACACAAAGTATGTTCTAGAGTGGTAGTTCTTATCTGTAGGCATATTTGTGTGTGTGTGTGTGTGTGTGTGTGTGTGATTTTAGACATTTTTTTCTTTATATTTAATAAACAGAATTAAGTGGAGACTTTGTCTAGCAGGCTTCAGTAATAAAAAACTGAAGTAGAATAAACTACTTGCAAACTTTATCCTGACACAAGGGATTAAAGTATGCTCTATATCTTAGTTGTCTAATGGTAACTCTTTGTAGCTATGACACTGAGAAGAAAGGATTCAGGGCTACCAAGAGGGTATCTCCGCCAGATTACTCTCCTTCCAAAAAGAACAAGAGAACAAAGTCATCCACACCCTAGAAGGAATTTGGTAAACTGTTTGAAGTTTTCCTTTCATCTTGTCCCAAGAGAGAGTGGAGTTTAGGATGGGACCAAAACAGTTGGACCCAAAAGGGCCTGGAAATAAATTGGATATTTGGCTTTGCACATAAATGTCTTACTGAGTAAGAGCTGCCTTTTCATGTGTACTGATCCTCTCTAAATAATCATTTGTCAGTGATGTGAGGATGTAGGACAAAAGCTGTTTCTCTTCCTTAAGAGTAGTATGAATACTTTATTCCAAGGCCAATGTATAATTTCCTTTGCAGTGAAACTGGAAACTCTCTGAAGCAACTCTGAATTTATTTTGATTGTATCATTTAACTTTTTTCCCAAGACTTAATGACAAAAACAGATACATGATGATCAAACACTGGGTTGACTCTATGGATCAAATAATCTACTTAATGAACCAAAAAATCTACTTAATGAACCAAAATGATCTGCAGGTTATAAACTATACAGGCATTGGTTTAGTGGCTGCTGCCAGAAGCTTAATCAAGAAAAGTAAATAAAGCAAATGAGGGGGAAAGGAATTAATATTATTCTTACCAGATATTTCACCTACATCACTTCTGCAGAAACTCCTTCAAGGTCCTCACAATTAAAGTACTTATGTACACTAGTCATTGTACCAGGCCTTGAAGAGAATATAAAAATGAACAAGACTAAATTCTCTTATCAGGAAATTTAGTATATTGTGCCCCTGTGCTCTGATTTATCTTTCTTGAGGTTTTTAGCCTCTCTGCCCAGTTGTACTCAGATCTCTTCCACCTTGGCTAGGATAATCTCCAAATCTTTTACTCCCAGTCAGATTTCCCATTGTATTGTTATTAGATCTTGATACAATTGAAGTTAATCATAATGGGCATTGAATTAAGAGTGAAAAGCAGGAAGATACTAGAAAAAAAATTAGTAGAGCAGAGTCTAAATAAGATGTGGAAGTTGAGCCATATAATTGACTGATAGCAGGAAGAGTATTCCAGGCAGAGGGAAGAGCAGATGTTAGTTCCAAATCAGAAGGATAGACTATGGTTCTGAGAAACAGCCAAGAGCCAGATTACATAGACCCTGGAAGGACTGAATTTTCTCTGAAATAAGAAGGAAACCACAATGAGCAGAAGAGTGTGACACGATGTCTTATGTTTCAGAGGGATCACTCTTTGGGGTAGAAATAAATTTGGAAAACCTTATCCTTACCTCATCTCACAATTTATTATGTTCACTAACCTGTTTATTATGTAATGAGTCCATTATATAATTAAAAAAAGACCTGTTCAACTCTGTTAATATTTCTCAGAACTTTGGAGCCCAGACCATTTTCTTTTGCATTCATTAATACCACATTAAACTGTATTTTGAAACCTTTGGGCTTAACTAGAATTTAAAATATTGGAAATAGTTTCCAGCCAGGCACAATGGCCTATGCCTGTAATCCTACCTACTAGGTAGGCAAAGACTTGTGGATTGCAAGTTCAGGCCAGGCTAGGCAACTTAGGGATACTGTATCTCAAAAGAAAAACAAAAAGATCGATAATACCGTTCAGTGGTAGAAATCCCCTGGGTTCAATTCCTAGTACTATGAAAAAAGAAAAATTCTAATTAGGAGAATTTAGTTTTTATAATTATATCTCTACAATACTGATAATGACAGTTTCTTGGATTTATTGAGTATTTCTACATGCGGCATATATATCAGAGCTGTCCCATGAAGGAAGTTCTAGTGCTATCCCATTTTACTAGAAATTGAGACCTAAAGAGAGTAGGTGCCTGGAGGATCCAAGATTTGGGACCACTGAGTTTTACTCCAAAACTCATGGCTTTAGTCACTATGCCCTGTTGCCTTCTCAGAAATTTTGTTGTTGTAACTTTTCGGTTTGGTTTTGTTTTGTTTTACAGTGCTGGGGATTGAACCAAAGGCTTTGCTATGGAAGTGCTTTACCACCAAAGTACATCCTCAATTCAGAATATTTACTAAAGAATTATAAAGGGTTGAAGGTGTAGTTAGTGGTAGAGCAAAAATTTGCCATTTCTTTTGCAAATCAGAATCATCAGAATCTTCTTTTTTACTTTGATTGCAGATTTTGTTGTTGTTGGGTTTTGTTTTGTTTCATTTTTTGGTGCTGGACATTGAATCCAGGGTTGCTTAAACACTAAGCAACATCTCCAGCCCTTTTTAATTTTTATTTTGAGACAAGGTCTCACTAAGTTGCCTAGGACCTTGCTAAGTTGCTGAGGCTGGCTTACAATCCTCCTGCCTCAGCCTCCCTAAATGGCTGGGATTACAGGCATGTACCACAGAACCCAGCTAAAAATATTTTTAAATTTATGTTTATCTTAAAAATATTCCACAAACAATATCTTTTATATTTTCAGTGAACTTGGAATATATTAACTTTTTTCATTTCTTCAAACATATTAAATGCTCAAATCAATACAAAAATGGTTTCTACCTTATAATAATAGATGTCTACTTTTTCCTAGATTGAAGGATTCTCATTAAACAAACTTACGAACTTCAACCTTAAAGACGTTGAGAAAGATTTTGTGGTCTGGGAATACACTGATAATGTTGGGGATACAAACACAGCAAAAGAAGAGTCACCAAAAGAAAGGCCAATTAAAAGGGGGCAGGTCTGTTCTCTTATTTCTAATTTTACTGTTGATTTTTATTTTAGTTATCAATTGTGGTGTTTATGAGTTAGTCAGTTTTCCTGTTTTTCCTTAACTGTCTTAAGTATTTCATGGTTATTTCATTTCCTAATCTGTTTAGTCCATTGAATAATCAACATGAAAGATTTTTAAAAATTATGAAAAGATTTTTAAAAGTAATGTGGAAAGATTTTAAAAAATTGATCATTAAATTTATTTATATGGTTTATTCTTTGTACAGAGGCCTTGGAAAAATACTGAGAATTCAAAGAAAAATCCCTGTGTATCTTCAAAAGAGTTAGGTCTTAAATTGTATTTAAGGTTTAAATCTATGGAATGTTAACTTCAAAGGACTGAAATAACAGTAAATAAGCATATGATTTAATGTACTGGTCCCATACTATTGGAAATGCATAAAAAAATCTATGTGTAAAGAATTACCATTAGAGTTTCCAACAAAAAAAAAAATTTGTGCACAGATTATACAGGTCGCACTATTCTGTCCCAAATTGGTGAATGGTCCTAGATCCCAATGACAGTAATATTCATGAAATAATTCTGATGCCAAAAATCTAATCCCATCTCTATACAAATAAGTCATATCATTCCTCCAGTCTGTAGTTTACTTGTTCCTAAAATGAAGAGATAGTGGTGAATCATAGAGTTTCCGGTTGTGTTTCCTAGAATTCTTAAGCATTGGAGCAGGAAGGAGGAGATGCCACCCCAGCCTTGCTGGCACCAGAACAGCACCACTTTTGTCTGTTTTCTACTGGGGGTTCCAGTGTGGATAAGAGCACAGGCTGTGGAGCCAGATATACAAATATTCTCAGTTCTCCCACTTATATGTCCTTGGCAAGTTACTTAATTTTTCCATGCCCCAGTTTCCTCCCTGTAAATGAGGATAATATTAGTACCCTCTCATAGGGTCATTGATTTATAGAATGCTTAACTCAGTGCCAAGCATGTGGTAAGCACTCAGGAAATGTTACCTACACTATTCTTACTTTATTCAAAAAAGGAATGTTCCCTACTTCTAAACAATTTTATTGACGATAATCTAGATATTTTAAAGTTCCATGTTAAAGTGTTTTCAAGTCATTTCAGTGAGATGCTTAAAAATCCTTTGTAAAGCTGAAAAAGGCTGTGGATGAGAGGTGAAATTTAATAAAGCTTTCAATTTCTGGGGGTTTCCTTTGTGTCCTCAATTCTAGTATTTGGGACCCAGACAACTTCCAGTATCTATCAGTTCTGCCTTATAAGTCTACCTACCAGATGACTTTATCTTACTCTAAGACCCTTTGTGGTTGAGATTTATCCATGAATAAACTACTATACCACTTGTTTTAAAGTCTGATTTAGTAAAGTGTGATTGGAGACAAATTTGTATACTTAAGGAAAGAATTTTTTCAGTGTGAATTATAAGACTAATGTGAAGAAAAAGCTATTTCTGTAAGTCCATTTAATGCTTTTCTTTTATATTTTTATGTTCTTTGGAGAGGTTAGTCATGCTGCCACATCTGAAATTAAGTGAGCTCTAGACTTTGTAGAAGTTGCATATGCTGTGGTGAGAAAAACAATGTATTGGGGTCAGAACAAGTTCTCACGCCACTTACAAGCAGTGCAACCTTCTGACAAGTCACGAAAACTTTTGGGGCTTCAGTTCCTTTTAACATGTGGACTTCTTCACTAGATTACCTTTAAGAGCATCTTACTGTTGTGACATTGTTTCAGTGATATATGAATTTCTTGTACTTAAAGACTACCTGAGTGAAAAAATACAGAAAGCAACCAAGTCTGCCAGATGCTTTCCCTTGTTTCTGATTTAATCCTCATAACTATCCTGTGTTATAGGTGGTATCATCCCTACTCTGCAGATAATGATAGCGACCATTTTTTGAACACTGTGTGCCAGGCACTGTGCTAAGCACTTTACAGACACTATCTCACTCAGTCCTCCCAAGAACCCAATGAGGTGGGTACTATTATCCCCATTTGTCAGATGAGGAAACCAAGTCTTAGGTTATAGACATTGACCAGGATCATACACGGCTAGTACTTGGCAGAGTTTGGATTTCAAACTAAGGTTGTTCCAATTCCAAAGCCAGTTCACTTAACCATTGTGCAATACTGCTAGTCTGAGAGTGAAAACACTAAATTACAGAGCAATCAAGAGCTATGAAATGGCAGAATCACTGTTTGGGCCCTTTTTTTCCCCCCCTATTCTGAGTTCTGTGTATTTCCCAAAAGATTATAGGAAGTATGTTATTTGAACTTGTCAAGTCAGTGACTGTAGAACTAGTATCAATTTCTATTATAGTTATTTGACTTTAATTGCCACTGGCAGATTTAGTGTACTTATGTAGCATATCAGGGCAATGAGAGTATTGGTTTTCTTTTTCTCTGTCTTTAGCTACTATACATTTCCATGTATCCATATAAAGGTGCCCTCCAGCAGCAGTAACAGGTGAAGGTCCATGCTGAGAGTATTAGCAAACTGTGCAAGGTCCTATCCACCTGTTATTAAAATTTCAAAATTCGGTGCTGTCTGGTTAAATAAAATTGGTCCTGTCTGTTCCATGGTACTGACTAGATTTTAACCTACCCAAATGTCAGGGATGCAGTGAAGTTTTGCTATTTTCCCACATACAAAGTGATTTGTCTAGATGTCAAATTTCTATCTTTGCTCAGATTTTCCAGGTTTTTTAATTTGATGCTCAAATGATCTTTAATTTTTCAGATTAAGCCAACACCCGAAGTAACCAATATATTTCTCTTTGATATTAATAGGTATCATTAATATTTGATACAAAACACCAGCCTTCAGTACCAGTTGGGCAGCTCTGGGTGGAACTGCTGCGATTCTATGCTTTAGAATTTAATTTGGCTGATTTAGTGATCAGTATCCGTGTCAAAGAATCAATATCTCGAGAATCAAAGGATTGGCCCAAAAAGCGCATTGCCATTGAAGGTATCTCAAAATGTTTATTCTTTTTTTATTTTATTATTTTTTTTAAGGTACCAGTCTAACAGCATGCTTTTATTTCAGTCTCTTTTCATCTCCTACTTGTAAGGTAGGCCTGACCTCAAAGGTGAACTAAATAATTAGGATCTTGCATGTGTTACAGTGAGTCATCTAAAAGGATCAAAAGGTTTATCCTGAGTTTTTGAAGAACTATAATGAAATATCTTAATTTTTAAGCAACTTGAATAATGGTTAGCTGAGTTCTTGCTTTCTTTGTGAATTGCTTAACAACTTAAATGCTTAATGTTTTTTTCCCAGTGATCTGAGTTTCCCTTTCCTGCTGTTCTCACTTCTGGATTTTTAAATTCAGTCCTTTCATGGGTTATTGTTAATATTGTTTAGTTTTGCAGAGATGAGAAAAATACTTTTTCTTGTGAAGACTGACATTCTTAGTTGGATAACTCTCCAGTAAAGGGAACAGATAATTATTTTTTAAAGTAGTAATCAGTAACTTACTCATTAAAAACACATTTTTAGTGAAGGCTTCTTTAACTGAAGTCACTATATGAAAGACACACTGATGTGCCCTGTAGATGTCATTAAATGGACTATCTCTTCTCAGCTTTGCAAAGTCAGGAGGTTGAAACCCCTCTAGAAATCTTAATTCTCCTCCTTTAATAATTTACAGAATTTCCTAAATGGAATTCTCTTATTTTTGCTTGATTTTTTTTTCAAGCTTTATGTTGCATAAGAGGGTTTTTTGCAATTTGCATAAATTCTGTGTGCAGTCATGGGGATCTCACATTTTTAAACCCTCCCCTGCAGTTTCTCTGGCTCAGCTCTTCTGGCCAATTGCCTAACCTGCTGGAGTTCTAGGGGAGGAGAAAAGATTGAGAGAAGTGGTGTCTCCTCCTGGTGCCTCCCTCTCGCCCCTGAAATTCAGTCCAGCCAATTCAGTGATGGGGCTTCCCAGGGCAGAAGAGTGGAGGTAAGCTCGACAAACCACAGGGCTTGGCTGAGTGGGGAGGCAGAGCACTCAGCAGCAAAGCCTATAGGGAAGACCTGACTTCCTGAGGGCACGATAAACACACGAATGACATCTTTCCTACCACCGCAGTCACGGCAGAATAGGGAAGGGGTACTGGTTCTGTACAGGATGGGTTCTCTTAGCAGAACAGATGTTTCAGAAAACATTGCTTTTTGTTCTTATACTGTATCTTCTTATTCTCTACCTGCATTTTTTCTTTTTTTAAGCATATAAGATATAAACTTCACTGTTGTTTATTTGTTATCTATTTTTATTTGCAACGGGCTAATTTTTAGAGCACAAAATAGAAATATATTAAGTGGTATATTTGTTTTTTCATTGTTATTGTTACAGATCCCTACTCTGTTAAAAGAAATGTGGCAAGGACCCTAAATAATCAACCTGTGTTTGAATATATACTTCACTGTTTAAGAACGACATATAAATATTTTGCTCTTCCACACAAACTTGCAAAATCCAGCCTTCCAAAGCCTCTGAGCACAGTTACGTGTATTTCAGAACATTTTAAAGAAGTAATAAATCATGATCCAGATGTGCAAACAAAAGACGATAAGCTCAACAATTCAGTTTTGGCTCAAGGCCCTGGTGCTACTACCATTTCAACTGAAAATGCTTGCAAGGCACAGCCACTTTCTCTTAAAGAGACTGCTGAAAGCTGTGGAAGCCCACCAGCTGAGGAAATTGGAAATGTACACATCAGGAAATGCACACATTTAGGAAACTCTGGCTGTATCCAGGCAGAAGTCAATTGTGATAATTATGAGGATATTAAAGTACACCATCAAGAAACAGGAAGTAAAGATGAGAAAGAGAAAATCAGAAAGAAGGGAAAGCATCCTTTGACTGCTGATGACCCCAGTATAAGCAGTAATGAGTGTGGAGAACTTACAATTGGCAGCAGCCCATGTAATTATGAGACAGATAGCATTTTGAATTTAGAAGGCCTCCAAAATCCTACAGCCAAAGTGTGTGATGGATTTGCTACTTTTGATGACAAGATTGATCTTGATGAAGAAAGTGTAGAAGGTACTGATGAGCTAGAAGACTCTTTAAACCACTTTGTCCCTTTAGTCCAGTGTCAAACATCTGAAATCATTCACTTTGATGAAGAAGAGGAGGAAGATGAAGAGGAGGAGGAAGAACCCAGGCTCACCATTAACCAAAGGGAAGATGAGGATGGCATTGCTAATGAAGATGAGCTGGACAATACCTATACTGGATCAGGTGATGAAGATGCTCTTTCTGAAGAGGATGATGAATTAGTTCAGCCGGCTAAATATGAAGACTTGAAAGAATGTGAAAAAAATGTAGATGGCGCCCTACTTACGGAACTTAATAAAATAAATCTTAAAGAAGAAAATATATGTGAGGAAAATTCACCAGTGGACCAGTCTGATTTCTTCTATGAATTTAGTAAACTTATCTTCACCAAAGGCAAGGTAATCAGGAGACTTTAAACAATTAAACACCAGGAGACTTTAAACAATTTTAATACATGTAATTTCAATTTTCATACACAAGAACATAATTCTCCATGTTTTGGGTGTGGTTAAGAAGTTTTGCCTTTGTCCTAATACAGCCACTTGATTCACTTCCTTCCACTTTACATTCCTTCCAATCAGATTTGTAGGAATCTGCGTAGGAGGAATGGAAAGCTGATAGTAACTATCCTTTTCTCCTGATGACATCATAAGGATGCTTCTCTCTCAGATCTTTTAATGGCTTCATTTCTTTGGAAAGTGAAGAGTAGGCTTTGTACTTCAAAAATAAAAAAGATCCAGGCATGTAATCTCAGCCACTCAAGGGGCTGAGGCAGGAGGGATCGTAAGTTCAAAGCCAGCCTCAGCAACTTAGCAAGGACCTAACCAGCTTAACGAGACTATGTCTCAAAATGAAAAGTAAAAAGGGCCGGGGATGTTACTCAGTGGTTAAGTGCTCCTAGGTTCAATCTGCAAGCCAAAAAAAAAAAAAAAAATTCTAAATCCCATTATTTGGCAAATAAAGTTTTCAGTGTTATTTTGCTTTGCCATATTCCTACAGTCTCCCACAGTTGTGTGCAGCTTGTGCAAACGAGAGGGTCATCTAAAGAAGGACTGTCCTGAAGACTTCAAAAGAATCCAGCTGGAACCTTTGCCACCACTAACACCCAAGTTTTCAAATATCTTAGATCAAGTTTGTTTCCAGTGTTACAGTAAGTTATTCACATTTCTTTTCATTTGTCAGAAAAGTAAATTGACTTGTTGTTGTTGTTGTTGTAGTTGTTACTGGAAATTGAACCCAGGGGTGCTTTACCACTGAGCCATATTCCTGGTCCTTTTTATTTTTTCTATTGAGACCCTTGCTAAATTAAGGGTCACTCTTAAGTTGTTGAGGCTGGCTTTGAATTTGAGATCCTCTTGCTTCAGTGTGACATGCAGGTCCCATTTGGGACACACAATAAGTAATCATTAAAGAAAGAAGGAAGGAATATCTTTTTAAGTTGTTTGTTTTTTCTGTTTTATTTGTGCTGCAGATTGAACCCAGGGCCTTCCACGTGCTTAACTCATGCTTTATCACTGAACTACTTAATCTTAAGACTTTTTAAGTCTTAAGATTAAAATACTATATTAGCTTTTCCAACTAATAGATTACATTCCTTGAAATGTTTTCCTAGATGCATTTTTCATGACCAGAAGTATTCTCTCACAAAGGAATAACTGTACATATTGCCCCCTCCCTTGGGGAGCAGTAAATCTTCTTTAGAGATTTGCAAGGCATGATAAAAGCAGTGTTTAAAAGCAATGTTGTAGCAAAGAAACTTGATTTTATATCTTTAATCCAACAGCTCCAAAATTTGAGCACAGAATTATTCTTAGTTAACATTAATTCATAGTGCACACAACATGACAGCCCTTTAAGGAAGAGTAGAGTTTGGGGGAGCATTGGTATAGAGAGGTTTCAAGTCCTACAATGAGAAAATTTTGCAATAGAGACATTTTACTGCTTAGAATGGAGAACTTAATGCTTCATATTGCTACATCTTGAGGTGTCCATCTATGCTGAAAAATAATTTTTTAAAAACTTTTGAGGTATTATCAAAAGCCTTCTCAAATTCCTAGACTCAAGTGATCCTCCCACCTCAGCTTTCTGAGTAACAGGCACTACGGTGTGCACCATCATGCCTGGCTGCCAGGGATTTAAAAATGAAAACAAAAACTTTTTGGTGGTTTAAATCTATAAAAGAAAACTAGGTTCTCTTTAGGAAAAAATATGGACATGCTCACAAATTTTTGGATTCACTCTTTGAGGTCTCTGTAAAACCCAGGTACAGAGCCTGTCTAAATTAGTTTTCATTTTAAGAGTAGTTCTTTCTAATAGACTCTTCTGTTAAAGAAACAAAAGATTATTTTACATTACAAATGTTATCTGGGCAAAGGCACAAAAATTAGGGTGTTTTCTTTAAACCTTTGAAGTCTTACTTTCAGCTTTTTCAAAAAAAAGTCATCAGTCTTTTTCTCAATGTGTCTATTTATTTTAAACAGAGGATTTTTCTCCAACTGTTTTAGAAGATCAGGCTCGTGAACATATCCGGCAAAACTTAGAAAGTTTCATAAAACAGGACTTTCCAGGTAAATGATATATATTTTTTAATCCTTAAAAAAGGTAATGTGACCTTCCTTTCAAAAGAGTACATGTATTACGAGCATACTAATTTTGAGAATAACATCTTGCAGTGATTGTGGGTTCGGAGTTTCAGTTGCTTTGTGATATACCTAGGATGGTCTTTGGTGCACCAAATCCTGGTTTACGAACAGAAAAGAAAGTACAGTGCAGAATTTATTCTAATAGATACCACAAGTGAATTTCACTTAATATTACATTTGTAATCAGAGTTCACACCTCTAAAATATGCATTTATTTAGAAAGGAGTGATACATTATTAAATGTGTTGAAATGATCTCCATTTTGTTTGAAATGTCACCTAGTAATCTTTCATGATATATACAGCTTGTATATTAAAGTAAACTTGGAAAAAATAAATAAATAGTTAATAAAAAAATTATTATGAGATAGGATAGTTAACACCTGGGTATATTTGATTCATGAGAGGGTCATTTTGGTCAAAATATTAAATGTACTCAGGTAATTAGTTATTACTTTTCATATATCCCTAACAGGAACTAAATTGAGCTTGTTTGGCTCCTCCAAAAATGGATTTGGTTTTAAGCAGAGTGACCTTGACGTCTGCATGACAATTAACGGACATGAAACTGCTGAGGTACAGTGACCACATAAAACTTGCATTTGCTCTGGCAGTGTGATTTGAACTATCTTGACTGATGGTACAGCTTGGTACTTTCCAAATTTATCAAGGCATGCCATATGGAGTGTGCCATTTGGCACACCCTCTAGCCAAATACATTAAGCTTAGAGGTGAATATGAAGAATAGATTGCCTTGTACATTCAACTTTTAGTATGAAGTAGATTTGAAAGTGACCACTGGGAATTCTGCAAAGCCAAACCAGCTTTCCTGGTGTTCCATTAGCCTGGCTACTAGACTGACCTGGATATGCATATCCATACGTTATCTATAAGGTTTTTATTTTGTTTTTGTTTTAAATCAGGCAGGCAGTGTGGTATAAATGATGAGTGCTACCTTTATAGTACAAAGACCTGGATTTGAGACAACTTGGTTTTTTCAGTACCTAAACATGTGGTCTTTGGTCGATAGCTATAAAATGGAAATAATAACTTCTGTCTCTTGCTTTAGGAGATCATAGTGCATATCAGCTTGGTTTTTATATGTCAGGAGATAGCAAATTTTGGCCTATGGGCTGAATTCAGCTCACAGCCTGTTTTTGTAAATAAAGTTGTATTAGAACAGAGCCACACCCATTCATTTATGTATTGTCTATTTAGTTGGTTTGTGTGTGTGTGTGTGTGTGGTGCTGGGAATCGAACCCAGTGGCTCAGTGCCTCACGCATGCTAAGTAAGCTCTCTACCGTTGAGCCATAACCCCCAGCCCTATGTTTTGTGTATGTCTGATTCTCTACATGACTGGGAGTTTAGTACTTATAACACATGCTTATGTGGCTCGCAAAGCAGAACAAATTTGTCAGCCCCTGATGTATACAGGAAGGCACTTATATAAAAATTATATAAATTCTGAGATGTGCTGAGTTCCTATTCGTTTTTGTTTGTTTGTTTTGTTTATTTCTGTTTTTATTATTTTTATTTTTGATTAGTGGTGCTGAGGGACTTGAACATGCTAAATAAGGGCTCTTACCTCTTACCTACACCCCATGTCCCTATTTTTTAAATTTGTAACAGTAGTCCAAAGGCTCTATATCCAGAAGAGTGCTGCTACTGTTCTCAAGTGCTTTCTTTGCCTTGAAGATATAACAGATTTGGAAAAATGGACAAAAATGATCTGCCCAGAATTTGGTGAATAAAATGAATAAGCAAGATTAGGTCTTCCGTATGGCACAACCCTATTATACAACCTCAAGATTAATTAATTAATTAATTTTTTTTTAAGAGAGAGAATTTATTAATATTTATTTTTTTTTAGTTTTCGGTGGACACAACATCTTTAGTTTATTTGTATGTGGTGCTGAGGATTGAACCCAGCACCCCGCGCATGCCAGGCGAGCGCGCTACCGCTTGAGCCACATCCCCAGCCCGAGATTAATTTTTTTTAACCTAGTATATAAACTAATTTTGAAGGCATTTCTAAAGTGAAATTCCAAATATGTTCTGGAATGTGTACAGTCATCAAAAGGGCTTACATTGATAGGGACTGTGAATGTGTTTTTAAGTATGAATTATTAGAAATATCATTCTTATTTGCTATATTACCTTAATTTTCTGCATTATAATTTTGGCTCTTCCAGTGGGGAAATAATGTGAGCTTAATCACTATCCACAGCAAGTCATCAACTCTTAAACTATAATTAAGATTTTACCTGTAATTAATAAGATGAGGCATAGAAGCCCCTTCTTATATACTCTGGCACATAGGGTACTTCTGAGAGAGGTAATTACATAGCAAAAAAATGAAAGTCCTCATCCATGGTTCAGAGACGTTTCAAGAAGCTCTCAGTCCATGGCTTCCTGACTGATTTTAACCTTTTTTGCACCTTCAAAAGCAATTAGAACATAGGATGTGTGGCAGTTTTTGCATATTTAGAATATTTCCTATGGATACTGACTGATTCTCAACTAAAAGTGAAAAACATATAATGAGTTTCATTATATCTGAAGACAGTGGATACTATAAACAGTATAGTAACCTGTCTTCCAATTTTGATTAATTTTTGTGTCATCTTTGTTGCAGGGGTTGGACTGTGTAAGAACTATTGAAGAATTGGCAAGAGTCCTTAGAAAACATTCAGGTACCTCTAAATATTTGTTTCTAAAAATACTATAACTTTTTTAGTGTTTCGTGTACTTAGAATTTATTTTTATTATTTTTTAGTTGTAGGTGGACACAATATCTTTATTTCATTTTTATGTGGTGCTGAGGTGTGAACCTAGTGCCTCACGTGTGCTAGACAAGCACTCTATCACTGAGCCATAACCTCAGCCCCATGTACTTATAATATATTAATGCCTACAAAGCAATATAGTGACTCATTTTATAAAATACTTACAGTACTAGTGTCCTTAAAAAATATCATGATTAAGTATGAAAGACTGAGGAGTTGGTGACAATTTGTGTGCATATTGTTCCCTAGCTGAATTTTGTGTCTGTGTGTATGTGTGTGTGTGTGTGTGTTTCCCCCAAGACAAAGTATATACCAGACAGGAAATTTTGGAAATCATTTTACTTATTGATATCATATAAATCAAAGTATAGAAATTATTAAAACCTCATAAGTGTAGTGAAGAGCATCTTGGCCTAGGCAGTTGCATTCACAGCTGTTCTGTTCATCAAGCTATTATAACCTTGAGCCAGGGTTCACTTTGCTTGGTCTGTTTTATCAATAAATTAAGAAAAGTGAGAAATCATTTACAACTGTAAAATATATGGATTTTTAAATTGTTTGCAGAGCTAAAATGCCATTAACATATTCTTTTGCTAGTGGGGCATCTATCAATGCTGTGTAAACCTGAGAGTCCAAGAGTGATACCAAGAATTAAGCAAAATTGTAAGGAATTGTTTGAAAGAAGTTGAGGACTAAACCTTAATTTCAGTGGGTAGAAAATAAAAGACTGAACATGGGAGCTTTGGGGTTGATAAAATAGAACCAGTTTGATTTACTATGAATAAATGCTAGGACAAGGTTCTATGTATTATAGTGTCCAATGGTGTCTAATTCCTGAATGGGAAGGAGTTGGAGAAAATGGTTTATCTAATTTAGAGGTGATAAAGAAAAGTATTTGGTAGATATTCTGAAATCAGACTCTTCTGAGGGGTGTTTTGTTTTTGTATTAAAGGGAATTGAATTAAAGGGCAAGTCTACCACTGAGCTATATTCTCAGCCCTTTTCATTTTTTATTTATTTTTTTTTTAATTTTTTTATTAGTTGCTCAAAACATTACAATGATCTTGACATATTATACATTTGATTCAAATGAGGTACATAATCTCATTTTTTATTTTGAGAAATGTTCTCACTAAGTTGCTACAGCTGGTTTACAACTTGCCATCCTCCTTCCTTGGCCTCCCAAGTACCTGGGCCTGGCTCTTTGGGTTTTTTTTGTTTCTGTTTTTAAAATTTTTTGTTTTGTGATGCTGGGGATTAAACTCAGGGCCTTCTGCATCTAAAGCAGGTACTCTTTTTTTTTTCTTTTTGTGGTACTGGGGATTTATCCCAATTGATCCCACAGCCTTGTTAGCAGCCCCTCCCCCACCACCCGGCTTTAAATCCTGGTTTCCCATTTTCAGGCTGTGTGATCCCAATACCTCACTCAGCCTCATTATAAACACCCAGTTCCTCGTCTGTACAGCACCGTATATTCTGAGTATTCAGTAAATCCAAGCTTCCTTACTTCTCTTCCCCGTTAATATAAGTTAGTTTCCCACACAGATCTATCTTTCTTTCTTTTAATATTTTTAGTTGTAGATGGACACAATACCTTTATTTTGTTTATTTAATTTTATGTGGTGCTGGGGATCGAACCCAGGGCCTCACACATGCTAGGCAAGCTCTACCACTGAACTACAACCTCAGCCCCTTACACAGACTTTTCATCCTGAAATTACTTTTACCATTTACATGCTTTTTACCTGAGTTCTTTTTTTTTTTTAATTTTTTTTTTTTTTAGTTGTAGTTGGACACAATTGCTTTATTTTATTTATTTATTTTATGTGGTGCTGAGAATCAAACCCAGGGCGTCACATGTGCTAGGCAAGTGCTCTGCCGCTAAGCCGCAATCCCCAGCATCACAAAACCCCAGCCCCTTTACCTAAGTTCTGTAATGTGATAACTGTATATCTGCCCTTTAAACATCACCACTTAGCACTCTCAGGAAATTCATACTCCTACATATCAGAATAGACTCATTTTTCTGTTTACTTCCTTCCTTCTATTGGTTCCACCACTGCTTCCTGCCCTTCCTTCTGAATCCTCTTTCTAGATTTTCAACATTGGTATCTTTAGAATCACCAAAATGGGTGAAGTGATTATTAGTCTGACGTAGTCTATTCAGGAGAGGTTTGGAATCATTTGTGCCTCGTTTGAATCCTAGGTTCACCATTTACCAATTGTATGTTCCTAAGTGGATTTCTGTGGGTCTCTGTTTCCTCATCCGTAAGATGATGGTGCTCAATCTAAGTAAAGTTTATGAAAGACTCTTTGCATGCCCCTGGTAACACATTTTGTACTCAGAAAATAGTAATTCTTACTGTTAACAGCCCTTCTCCTTAACATTTCTCCTCCCCATCCTGTCATAGAGACTCAAGCATGACTTGTTTTCTCTCTGTATTTCCATTGTACCTTGATAGTTCAGGCCCAGATGTTTTTAAGTGGCTGTCTTGCATTCCATTGTCTCCAGTGCATCCATTGCTGAGGCATTGTTTAAGATTGTCAGTGATTTTTCCTCACACCAGTTTGTTGACTTCTCTTTATCTCTAAATATCATTCTTAACATGGTATATAGGGCTCTGGGTTCTTCCCAATTTCTTCCTCATCTCTCTTTATTCATGTTCCTTTACCTCAATTCATTCTACTGCCTGCATAATTCCTTGTAAGATCTCGAGCCATTCTGTTTCAGACGTCTACCCTTTCTGAGTATAGTTTTTCTTGCCTGGTAAATCCCCTCAACCTACACACTATCGTTTGCACATTCTTTTCCTTCAAAGGCTAGATCAGGTAATTTCCTTCTCTTACTAAAATTGATTGCTTCCTATTACCTTCATAACTTCTAGCTCCATGACGAGTAGCTTGTTTCAAAGGATTCAGGTGATTGCCCATAAGGTTTCTTCCAAATTAGATACAGTCATGAAGAGAATAGACAAAACACGTACTGCAGATACTGTAGTTGTTTCCTCTGTTTTGGTGTTTATCAAACTAATAATCTCACATACATGCATGCATACACGCGTGCGCGCACACACACACAAAAGGTCCATTAAGTTCTAGTTCAATACAGTGAAACAAGCCTAAGTTATGTTACATCATTTATGTTTATGTTGAAATATTAGCTTACAAACCATTTTTTATTCCCAGCTACTGTATTTAATCATACTATCTTATTTCCCAATCTAGGTCTGAGAAACATCTTACCTATTACAACAGCAAAGGTGCCAATTGTGAAGTTCTTCCATTCAAGAAGTGGTCTGGAAGTAGATATCAGTTTGTATAACACATTGGTAAGATTTTTTCAGGGCTTTTTCTTTAAAAAGATTAAAGAGAATAACTGCCCCTTTTTAAAAACCTCAAGTTAAATGAGCCATTTATTTCATGTTTCTTATTCTTTGGAGAGATTTTTATGAGTACTTGCTATGTGCTTGATGATGTTCTGAGGATAGGGATAGAGAATTTAGTTAATATGAATATTTACTTGAGCTGGAGAAGTAGGTCAATGATAGAGCACTTGCCAGTATGCATGAGACCCTGGCTTCCATCCCCAGTGCCACAAAAATTTTTAAAAACAAAGTATGCTATTCAACAGTTGGGGGAAAAAATAAAAATAAAAAAATTATATATGTATAATTATTATTATGTATTATATATGTGTATATATATATATACATATATATACACACACACACACACACACACATATTACTATTCTCTTCACTTAAAATGAGATCAGAGTGGCAAGCTTTTTTGTTTGGCTTGAATTTTGTGGTAATTTTGTGGTGGTGGTGTTTTTGGAGAGAACTATGTAACCATGGTGTCAGTCTTGCTTCAGGATTTTACAAAATTTTTCTGGTCCCTGAGATAATTTAATTGAAATAATGCCATGGAGCAAAGAGAAACTTTATATTTACTTAAAGGAAACTAATTGTTTATTTTAATAGCTCCTTATTTTCTAGAACTTCAAAGTAAGGACATATTAACATAATGGAAGTCATGAGAACATGTTACTACAATTCTTTGTTTTTATCTAGTAAATTAACAAAGTGTGTCTTTGAAAAGAAAAGGTAATCTCAATCTCAATATGTTCTTCCTAAAATTAATTGCAAGTGACCATTTCCAGAATATTTCAGCTTAAAATATTTTTTCATCTAATTGATAGCCTTATAGTGTAATTTCCCTTTTAACAGGCCCTTCATAACACAAGGCTTTTATCTGCTTACTCAACCATTGATCCCAGAGTGAAATATCTGTGCTATACCATGAAAGTATTTACAAAGGTGAGTAAGCTTCTTGTTGTGATTTGTCAGGAAATTGCATTGCATCTTCAAATCTTGTTGAAAACAAAATCTGTATTTTTTAATGAAAAATAACCATGTCAGATGCTTCCTGTAACTTTGGGAAGCCCTATACAGGCAACTAAATTTTTGTTGTCTTAAATTTTACATAATAATCTGATCTTGCTTCTGGTTAATAGTTCACTGCTTCATTGGGTTCAGTTTGGTTTGAATTGGGTTGGTTCATTTCATTGGGATATTTTAGATTTTGACAGTGTGATTTTTAGAAAAGGTAGAGGGTGGGATCTCACAAAAATCAAAGGGAAATCCATAGAGGAAAAGGACCGAGGGGTGAGAGGGAGGGAGGGGAAAGTGCTGGGGAGTGATATTGGGCAAATTATGTTACAGGTGAACCATTTGATAGAATCACTGGCAGGCAGTAAAGACAGGAAAGCAAGTCTTTCTGTGGAAGCAAGTGAGTGGGAACTAGTAGAAATATTATTAGGAAAAGGCGCACAAGTCAATAAAATGTGGCTGGTAGAGAAGAGGAAACGTGGCACAACACATCAAGGGAACACGGATTTGGCAGAAAAACCTAGCAACTGCTATCAACACTCTCACCCTACATGACAGTAAGTGCTCCTCACAACTCTCTGCTGAGAGTCCCAACCTGACACTCTCAGTGCCTTCCCACAGTGCCCTGAATTTCAGCGAATGTTCCAACTTGAACATAAAGCCTCATTATTTTTAAAATGATTGATCTCTCTGGTGTAAATCTATTTGACAACTATTTGGTGAAACTTTCAGAGATTACACTGCCTTCTTAGGCTTCAAACGAGAGTGAGAAGTCAGGTATAGACTACCTAAAGTCATTCGTCAGAGCTACCTTTCATTAATGTACACCTTCAGCAGTAATCTTTTTAAAATTATCATTCTGTAGCATGGTCATAGATACCAAAGAACGCAGTGTACTTCCTTTGTGAATTGACATTGAATAAGTGATTATTCTTTTCAATGATTTGGTCTAGTTCACTTAGGACCAAGACAGGAGGCATCAAGCTGAGAACCATCGAGTTTCCCACCCAGCTCATTGAAGCAGAAATCCTTCAAGGACTTACTCTCTGAAAAACAGGTTAGGGAGTAGCCTCTGCATCACGTTGCCCTGTATAGAAGGAAATTCTGAAATCCTTCACACTGAAGTTTTTAAACCGTGGGTAATAACACTTTGCTGCAAAATGTCTATAATACAATCCATTTTACCTGCCTTTTGCTGCCTACTGAAGGACATGACTGTTAGAGGCATACTTGCTATATACTGCCATTCTTTACCAAGGATGTGAAGGAGAGACTGGCCATACTCGCATAGGTCTGAGTAATACCAAGTTCCCTACACAAAGATGCCCAAGCCCAACTGAAGAAGGGAGGTACTCAGTACTACTCGACCTCCATCCAGCTTTACCATTAACAGGATGAATGCTGAGATCCTTTCTTAATGGTCAGAACTTAGAACTTTGACAAGGAGAAAGGAATGACCGGGATGTACAAATCACCAATGTTTCTGTAACCTAACAGGCAGAATGTAAGATATATCACTTCTCTAAAAAAATGAAAACTGAGACAAGACTGGCAACCCAGCTGCAAGTAGTGCTGTAGTGACGGGGCTGGGCTTGTCAAAAAAGGGAACACAGATCATAGAACTACAGAAACAGAGCTAAAAGGCCTTCCAATTAAATATGATAGAAGGAACTCTACATTTATCTCTACTCCTTTCCAAACTCCATTTAAAAGACAGTAAGTGAAACAGCAAAAGGAACTGGGGGTGTACACACAAGGAACAGAGAGAAAGGAGACAACAGTGGATAAGAGATGCACAGAAAATCTGGAGATGCAAATTAGGTGGCTATAGACATAAAGTAGAGAAGTAACAACTGCAAGAAGAATGGGAAGCCAGCACATATGCGGAAAAAGGAATGCCAAGGGCTGGAAGCAGCAGGTATTTCTGAAAACATAAGCACACGCGTGCACACCAGTTATAGTCCTTTTATCTCATACAGGCAGTCCACTCTTCCACACCTGGAAGAACAGAGGGACTTCATACTGTAGACAACTGGATTAGGCACACCCCAGTACTAAAAAGTACAAGACATGTAGATGGAAAGGGCGGAAAAGGGGTACTATTCTGAGTTAACAAAAGATAAAACACTTGTTAGCATTTTAGGGTCTCACCCATTTAAATATCCTTTCCTGACCACGTTAAGGTAAGGTTCACCTAGAAACAAGCCTGCTCTCTACGAATACAAGGCTTTAAATCAGCTGTTTAGGGCTTTAACTATAAATTACTCATCAAGAATAAAAACAGAAAAACATTCCTAAGAATAAAGGCGTAAACAATAAAATATGAAGAACCAGAAACTGAGGTGAGATCAAAGACAGCAGAAGAACGTGTATCCATGCATCTGTGAAACAAGATGGGGATTTTTTTTTTTAAATGAACAAGTTCTTAGAATTTAAATTAAAAAGGTAAAAACAAATTTTAAAATTCAAAAAACTGAATTATAAAATTAAAACTAAAGAAATATCCCAGATCAAAGGTGAGAAACAGAATGAAAAGGGCAGTAAAAGGTCTTAAATGAGAGCTACAGTTACAAAATTCACAGATCTAACTTTTGAAAAACAGGAATTTGAGGAGAAAAGTACAAATAAACTCGTTAAGGAAAAAAAATATATTTCCCACAGGACTGAAAGTTGTGAGCTTCCAGAATGGAGTAGACTAGTCAATGAACAACACAACAAATTCAGACTTGCAAGAAAATATTTTTAAGGTATTTCAGAACACTAAGGACGAGGATAAGATAGTAAACCCTGTAGAAAGGAAGAAAACCACACGTAAAGCACTATGATTCAGAATAGCACGGGGCTTCTCAATAACCTGGAGGAGACAAGAGCAGTACCTTCAGACCTTGCAGGAAAAAGATCGTGCACCTATAATTGCACACACACACAGTCTGGCCTTCTATCTACTGGAAGGGTGTGATCATGGTATTAGAAAGATTGAAGGACAAAGAATAGGCGATTATCCAATCCAGGGAAAACAAACTTGAATCAAAAGGAAACAAAACCACCTAACTCTGTGTAAACAATATTGCGTAATTGTGGGTTTTTTTGAGAGAAGAGAGAATTTTTTTAATATTTATTTTTCAGTTTTTCAGTGGACATAACATCTTTTATTTTTATGTGGTGGAGGATCGAACCCAGTACCACACGCATGCCAGGCGAGCGTGTTACCACTTGAGCCACATCCCCAGCCCAATTGCATAACTGTAATGACAAAACAAATAGGAGGAATACAAACAGAAAAAGGAAAGCATTTCCATAAAAGCATACCAAGAATGATCTAAAATTGCAATATTAACAAGCCTAATATTAAGATAATAAAAATCATGAAAGTTGTCTGTTTTTATGAAGGCAGGTATTTAAAGATGAAGAAAGGAGGCCATGAATAGTTGTCTACTATCAGTCTTAAATTGCCTGGTTTCAACTGTGTTCATACATTACATCATTTTTAAAAATTAAGAGGGGATCATGTCCCTCTGGACTCCTGTATTTTACAACAGCACCTCACTTCTTTTTTTTCAATAACAACTTTCTATAGGGAAAAGACCAACTGACTTGCAGAAAGTTCTTATTTTCTTCATGGCTATTTAAATTGTCTTTCTAATTCCTGTTTCAACTATAGAAGTTTGGCCGAAAAGTGATAGATCCAGAGTGAACAATTCTAGCACAATTACTCCTCAGGGCACTGAAATACCAGGTCCTTCATGCTGCATCACATCAGAAAACAGACATGCGATGTCAGGCTATTGGACTATAAGTGATGCCAGCCTGGCTAAGGTGGCTAGGAAAATGGCAGTCAGACCTTGCCTTTATAAATGTAAATTTCACCTTTAAAAATAAAAGAAAAATAGTCGCTGGGATAATGCTTTACTATATTGCTTTACCATTAATTTTTCATCTGATTTTAGTACTATTAATGACTGCATGATAATTATTTCACGGTGAATTGCAAAACAGGTGTCTACTTTCATAAAAAATATTTTCTAGAAAGGACAAGAGACAGACAAGGAAAGAAAAAATGGATAAGGAGCTTTCCTGTTTAAGTATCTCATCTTGCAAATAAGAAAATTAATGACAAGAGGTTAAATGACTGAAGTTACAAAGGCTTAGAACAGGCCTGCTGACTTTCCCTTCCTGCTCTTTCAAGTGTTGTAAGCAACGTGAATTCTTTTCCAGATGTAAAAATTGTATTATATGCTAGATTTTTAAAAAGGATTAAAGGAATGACTGTTACCTGACTTCCAATTTGCATCCAACTCAATAATCAAAAAGCACATACATAAGATTCCATTTAAACATAAAAGTACTTAAAAATTATACACATTCATCCATCACTAGTACATGTCCCCTGAGGACTAACACAGGTAAGCACCAAGAACAATTCACAGAATAAATACACTTTTAGCAGATAAATATGACAATTAAAACACAACTGAAAACAAAATCAATCAGTACCAATCCACTAATGAAAAGATTTTGGGTGTGGGGGATACCAGGGATTGAACCCAGGGGCACTCAACCACTGAGCCACATCTCTGTTTTTTATTTTGCTGCAGCCTCCTGAGCCACTAGGATTAAAGGCATGTGCCACCACATCACACCCAGCTAAAAAGAATTTTTTGTGGTAATGACATTTTTATTTTTTAACAGATAATTATCAAGTTTAACAAAATTATATAGTAGTTTAAAATATACTAGAACTTCCCATATAATGGTAGAAGAACATGAGTTTAGCTCTACACAACAGGATTGCAGATGATTTTATTTTTCTCTTTGTATTTCTTTCACATTCCAAAAATTCTCTATGATGAATATTTGGGGAAGCAATGTTTTCATTTTAAATGTTAGAATAAAAGGACAGTAAGATTGGCCTATGGACTCTTACCCATATCCTCTTTGTGGCAGACATTCTAAGATGTCATAGCAAAGAGAGAGTTGATCATTTCGTTCACAGTTATAGATGCACTCTAGTGATATTGCCATCAGCTGATCCTGATCAGGAATAATTTTTTGCTTCAGCTAGAAAAAATAAAGCATTTTGTACTAAATGTCAATAGATTCACAGTCTGTTTCTCCCTAGCCCAGTACCACTGCCAATAGAATATTAAATAGTGCAATTAATCAGCCACAGAAACAAATCTTGATTTTTGTTCAGCTTAAAGACTTTGGGGTCTTTAATAATTCTAAATGAAATCACATTTTAATTACAGAATCAGCTAGAAAAGATAATTTGTAACCCATAAGCTTTGCATCTGCTGAAAACAGACTTGTCAATTTATGACCCTTTCAAGGTAAAGCAGAGAGGAAAAGCACAGTGAACTGAAAAGGCAATTTATTAAAAATAACATTTCTAACCCTGGAGCCAAATTCTTTGGGTTCCAATTACAAACATAAAATTCCTTAACTAATATTTTAAAATGCTAGACCCTATTTTTTTTCAGTATGTATTATACATTATTCATTTAACTACACAGTACTGACATTCTGTTCAGAAGTCCAACTGTAATGTAGTTGTATACAAACCACATAACATAATCTATTTCTGATGCAGAAAAATGACCACTTCAGGCCACTTTCTATACAGCATACACCATTTCTCCCTGCAAACCACAGATTTCCATTCTTGCAGTATTTTCTGATACACAAAAATAACCGATTTGTTCCTTGTTTTACTCCTCTATTGTGGTGAGCCGCTTCTGCCGTTTCTGCAGATTATGGTCGCCATTACAAGATGACGCTGGCTCCGCTGTGGTCTGTGACAAACAACTCCTTATCTGGGAGAGTTGGCACATGATTTTTCACCACCCTGTGAGAAAGCTCCACGCGGCATCTTTGCATTGGGGCTTGGGATGCTTTATTAAGGCTGGGAGGGGCATCAGAGAGAGAGAAGAAGAAATATCAAGGGCCTGAATAAACTGTTGAAAGAAGATTCCCGAGTTGCGTCTTCCTTGCGGGCAAGGGGTCGCGACACTCTATAAAACAAATATTAACAACACCTTCCTAAGGGGGGGTAGTGAAGGCTAAATCAACTATTAAATGTGGAAGACATTATTATCAACACAGAAACTAAAATGAAAGCTTCAGAGAATTAGGTAAATAAATACATGCAGAGCACTTACACTTTACCACCACAGAAACCAAATGAAAGCCTGAAACTACTTTCTTAAGAGTTGTTTTCAACAAAAAGTAAGTTTAGGATAATTTCTGTAATAATGATCTCTTGCATTTCAGCATTTTAGTAGAAACTCCCCAATATACACAAAACAGATGGGAAAGTGATGGGAAGAGCTGCCAAACAAAGGCATTTTCTTAGAAAACTTAAGTCAATATTTGTTTCTATTGGGGATTAAACCCAGGGCCTCCCTCCTACATGCTAATAACATTCTACCACTGAGCTGCACCCTCAGGCCCTGGTCTTCAGCTTTCCCTGCTCTCCCACTCCCACTGCAGAAGATGGAACTTTCTTTGACAGCTGCCAAAGAGGCCTTCTGTTGTTCAGCCTGAGTTTTCAATAGTTTAACTACTCCCAATTTTTCATTACCTCTCTATAGGGGGCACTATGAACTGAAGTATGTCCCCCACTTCCCCCTAATGTTGACACCCTAACCCTCAATGTGGTGCACACCTTTCTTCCTCTTTCTTGCAAGCCAAAGGACATGTAACCACAGGACAATGGTAGCCACCTATAAGCCATGAGCATAGGGCTCAGAATGAAATCTACCTTACAAGTACCTCAATTTTGAACTTTAAGTCTCCAGAGCTATAGGAAATAAATTTCTATTGCTTAATTAAAAAAAAGAAAAAGAAAAACTCAAATTAATGGATGCAAATAAAAAAAAAACATTCAAGGTTACCAGGGAAACAAAGTTTTCTAAAGCAGCTGAGTCAAAAGATTTACATACATGTCCACAGGTATTAAGAAAACACTTATCGTCATTAAGTTGGCACTAACATCTGACAAAGGATTGCCCACAGCCGAAAAGTGATTAACTGGTAACGAAAGGACAAGAGAACAATAAAAATGGGTATTATTATAAATTAACAAAAATAACTTTTCTTGGTTTCTTATTTTGTGCCAGCTTCCAGTTGTAAGTGCTTGCATGCATTAATTTATAAATCCTCATAACAACCCTCTAAGATTATTGCAAGTCTTATTTCCATTGTACATTAAGGGAAAACCAAAGTGCCGAGAGATCAAATGATTTGCTCATGCTTGTAAAGCTAGGAAGTGGCAAAGTCATGATTCAAATCCAGACCATTGGCTCGAGAGCCAAAACTAAGCAACACAAGCTCTCACAATCCTGCAGGGGACTTTGACCTGCATGCAGGGAGACTGAGGAGACTGGGGGGAATATGGTAATAACTTGCATATGGTAAGAGCACACCCCAGGAAGATGAAACACTCAAACTAGATTTAGTCAAGGAACAATTTGGGAAACCATCTGAAAACAAGCCCAAATCCTTGATGTTTTATTTGATCTTCAGGCTTCCTGCCATGGACACATTTTTAAGTTCAATGTTCTAGAGTTTGTACTTAATCATATATACTCAAAAGTTTATGCTAAAAAATCCTTTAGTAGTCTTTCAATGTGAAGGGTCAAGAATGAACTTCTCACTTTTTATCCAAAAACCTTCATGGTTACCTGCCAGCCCATCTTTCTAGTGCCAAGAACCACTTACCCTACAGAAAGTTTTGTTTTACCCAAATTAAATTCCAGGAGGCACTAGGCATCTGTGGGAATTGACTCCAGAACCCTTGCTGATACCAGAATCTGCAGATTCTCAAATCCCTTATGTAAAATGACATAGCATTTACATATGATTTTCACATATCCACCTGTATATTTACTTGATCTCTAGATTACCTATAATACCTAAAACAATGTAAATGCTAGGTGAATAGTTGCTATATTGTAGTTGGAGAATAATGACAAGAAAAAGGTCTATGTGTGTTAAGTACAGATTTTTTTTTTTTAATGTTTTGATCCACGGTTGGTTGATTCCCATGGTAGGTTAATTCTAAGCACACAGAGATTTGAGCAATGGATGCAGAGCCCATGGACACAGAAGGCTGACTATACTTGCTGTAATCTAAATTCTATATAAGCTTGATTATGTCTACTTGTCTCAGTCCACTTCTACCTGGAATGTCTTCTCAAGAACATATGTTTACATGATAATAGAATGAATCAGATATTATTACCCTATGTGCATATATGATTACATGACCTGCATAACTCTACATCATGTGCCTCACAAGAATGAGAAGTTACAGTCCATTTATGTATGATTTGTCAAAATACATTCTACTGTCATGTATAAATTATTAGAATAATAAGTGAAAAGAATATAGGTTTACCAACTGTCCTATACCTACCTAGCAATTTAGTTTTATTTCCATTTGACTGACTTAAAGTGGACTTTCCCAAGTGTCCATGGTCCCTGCATAGGTTCAATACATGCTAGTTCATTTAAAAAAATATTACTCTTATACAAAGATCTCCTTTTCTCTATATATTCTTATGGTACTTATTCTTCTCTTACAACATTCAGCATATGTTCCTTAATACAATCTATTGTGTACATTAATCAGTGCTCAAATTTATAAGACACTTTTCCTTATGCCTGTCAGACTCCCTACATGAAGTCTTACAGTAGACAAGCTAAGACACACTTGTTCTTATCTTCATCCTCCTTTTCTCAACTTCTCAGTGGTCACTATTAAACCATCTTTTGCCCTTTCTTAAACTAAAAGAATATAGTCCATGCAGGACATTCTAACTTGACACAATGAGCCTTCCAAACATGGGCATCTCAAGTCTGCATTGCAAAGCAAGGTAAAATGCAAGAGAATCAATTTCAAAAACTAAAAACTTAAAATTATACATTATAGACATATAGAAAAGAACACGGATGATAAGATAGAATACCTGGAAAACACCAGAGAGTCAAGCAATATAAGAAGTCAGTGAGGAATAATACAAACTTCACACGCAGCATCAAGAGCTTTCATATTCACACATGAAAAAAAAAAAAACAAGAAATGAGGGAAGAGAAAACTTCACTTTGTAAGAGGGACAGAAAATTAAAGACTTAGGAATAGATTTAACAAAAAAAATATGCAAAACATCAAAAATTTTAACCACTCCTGAAACATTTAAAAAAGGCAAACAAATAGAATAAAATATTCTACTTTTGAAGAGGGTGACTGAACATTAATAGTTATGTTAATTTATATATTCAATATAATCACAAGGAAATACAAATAAGCTGTCAGGAAATTAGACAAGCTGATACCAAAGTTTAAAAGGAAAAAAAAAATATCCAAGAATAACTTAAAAATTAGTTGGGGAAAAAAAACTACAAAGGAATACTATCCTCAGACATTAGACCATACTCCAGCCAGGCACTGAGGCACATGCCTGTACTCCCATTGGCTCAGGAGGCTGAGGCAGGAAGATCTCGCGTTCAAAGCCAGACTCAGCAAACGCATGGCACTAAGCAACTCAGTGAGACCGTGTTTCTAAATAAGATACAAAATAGGGCTGAGGGTACGGCTCAGTTGCTGAGTGCCCCCGAGTTCAATCCCAGGTACCAAAAATAAATAAATAGTCCCAATTCTCTGTAATTAAAACAACACTCTACTAGGACATGGACAGACCATCAGACTCTCTTCCTAGAATTCTTGCTAGTCCTACATCAGACCTGCCCTGCCTATTCTCCATGTCTTTTCACTTTATGTTCTACATTGCAGATAATTTCTTAAATTGTGTTCCAAATTTCAATTCTTTCTTAAATTGTCTTCAATTCCTTTGAATTCCTCCATTTAAATTTTTGCTTTTATTATAATTTCAATTCTATAAGTTCTAAATGGCTTATTTTCAAATCTCAGCTCATTTTTTTCAGTTTCTCCATTCCTTCTCATGTCTTTGTTTCCTCATATCTTAAGGATTGAAAATATGTATTTCATAGCCTATATCTGATCATCTATTATCAGAGTGGAAGGAGAGCAAGGTTCTGCCCACTCAATCTTGCCTATAGATATTTTCCTTGGGTTTTGTAAAACTGAATTGTAAACTCATCTTCAAGATTTATCTGTAATATTCTTACACATCTGTTCAAATGTGAGTCCCTCAAAGAAGTTTTGCTTTTGCTATCACCAAGAGAACCAGGTCCAGTTTTATCACAGATAACAACAGATTTGACTTAACACTGCTCTGTTAGAGGGCTGCCCATCCCCACCCCACTAATGAAAAGTACATGCCAGCACAGTCACGCCTCTTGGCGGTCTTCACGTGCCAATGGGTAGGAAGTTTTCTATTCTGCACTTTCACTGACAATGCCGCAGTTAGGAGTAGAACAGAAAATCACACCCCCACCCACGCAACCACTAACTTCTCCTGAGTTTCTCTGACTTCCTTCTGCTTCACTTTTGGCCAGCAGGAATTCCCCTTACTTTCTCTGAAGCTCAGCACCACAGGTAAAAATATTTTTAATAATTTAATGACTAATTTTAAATACTTTAGAGTAAAAGAATTTTCAGAACATTTAGTCAATGATGCTGTCAGAAACAACATTATTTCTATCTTTATGTTTTATTCTACAGTAAATATTAAATTAGAAAATATAATTTTAAAACTAAAATTGCCCACTGAATTATGTAATTAGAAACAAACTTAAAAGATGGTACTTTAACAAAGCTAAGAAGTAAATTCCCATTGGTTAAAAGAAAGGACATTTGAAACAGTGGTTCCCAGCCCTGGCTTTCCATCCAAATCACTGGATAAATTACTAAAAGTATACCCAAGACACCCCCCCCCCAATTCTACTCCATTGTATCTGGAAAAGGCATAGAAACTCTTTTTTAATGTGTACATGGTTCTGATGTACAGACACATTCAAAAGTCACCAGTTTGGAAGACAGAAAACACTGAGAAGGCAGGAGATTGTGTCCCCATGACATTAATGCCCAGAACTGCCCCCCTCAAGTTTCACTTTCCAATGACAGATTCAGTCACAGAGCAATGGCTTACAATCAGAAGAGTGTTTTAGGAGTTATAAAGTAGAATAAACTTTGAGGTACACGAGGTGATTTAGAAGGACCTCGTCAGGCAGGTGCAGAGGAGTTTCAAGACCTTCCTTATCATTGTTGTGACCTTGGCTCTTAAGTATTAGCTTCCCTCTTCCCATGAAAGAATTGCTCTTCTCTGACCTTTAGTGTCAGGCTTGGCCATCAGACTTTCTTCTGCCAGGGGAAAGTGAGGAAGCAACTTGAGCCCCTTTTTTCAGCTAAAGTTTTAAAAGCCACTGGGAGTCTACTATTGTTTTCCTGGGCCACAGGATAGAAAATAATTTTTCTGCCTCATTTGCCAAGTAAATAACACATGGAACACAGCAGAAGCCCAACTGTAGCAGATATGACACTTGTGAGAAAAATCATATTTGCTGTTGCACGGTATTAACACAGAGATCATTTGTTAATGCAGCATACTTGATCTAAGCTGTCTGATACAGAAGCCATTGCTGCTGTTAAATTATTAAAATACTCTGTGCATCATTCATGGCAGATCTAAGGTACCTTCTTTTCATAAAAAATTAAGTGAAATACAAACAATACTCCCAGTACAATCTTAGTCAAGTAAATAAATATAGACAAGTGATCTAAAGCACCCCCAATGAAACCAAGTTTCAATCCTTCATTCCTACATTTGTTCTGCCAAAGTGAATGGAGCTCTTGTTCACTACTAGGCAGCATGCTATTTCCTGGTAATAAAGAGATGAATGACATACAGAGAAGGAATAAAGGAAAGAAAGACAAACATGAACAAATAATCCCAACACAGTATGATAAGGGCTATAATAGAAGCAAATACAAAGACCTGTCAGAGCACAGAGAAGTCAAGGAAGATTTCACAGTAGAGAGAATCTAGAAGAGCAGGACTTGAAGGATAGGCAGTTATTTGTGAAGTGAATGAAAAGGGGGAATCACCATTCTAAACAAAGGAAATATGACATAAAATAGAGAAAGCCAAGAGTGAGCCTGACAGGGTGAAGAGTCGAGAAGTTCACTGTGAACGGTCTCATTCTCCTGGAGAGAAACAAGGCTGGAGAGTCAGGCTGGAGAGGCAGGCTTCTGGAAGCACAGGCCCTGAAGCTTCTCTGCTTTGATGTTCACATGTTTCAACAAAGGCAAATGACTGTATGGTTTATTCAAAAGGTTCATGCTAAATTGCCAAGTAGAAACAAAAAGCTGACTACAAACAAAGGATTTACAAGATTCTGTGAGGAAGAAGTATCACAAATAAGATTACTGGAAAGAATTTAAAGTTGCTTCTTTCTTCCTCATAAAACATTCATATTCAATCTATCCTGCTTCTCACATGGTATTCTGCTGCCATAAGCAACCCACCTCAGCTCACAGTAAACCACTGCACATTTAAAACCAGAATACTAAGTGCAGACTGCTTATGAGAAGATGGAAAATTTTAAGTAACCAATGAACAGACATTTCTGACAGACCTTTTAGAAACCAAAAGCATACAATGTAGCATGTTTTTCCTTTAAATTTTCATTATACTGCTCTATGACCATAAATCTTAGTGGACTTAGGAACAAAGCATAGGGCAAGAAAATAGTCTCAATGCGAATTTTAAATTCGAAGAAGTCTGAAATGCTTTCTGCTTGAACCCAAATATAATGTTTTGAAAATTACTACAAAGTCAGGACTCAAGTGACCATGCCATCTTGCTTGAGTGCCCCTCAACAGAAAAGGAGGCACTATCGCTAGAAATAGCATATTTGATCTGTGGCTAAATTAAGACACTGTCAAATGCAAAGGTATGCTGTACTTAATAAAATGACTTTACCATCAGTCAATGTGAACCCTTTAGAAATTCAAAGTTATACAGTACTCTTTAAGTAGATATAACAGTAATTAAGAATAATTACAAGATACCTTATAAGAGCATAAATATTTTCATAAACTATTTGAATGTACTCAAGGGCAGAAACCATCTCCTATTAGTGGTATCATACAGTGTAAAAGTTAAGAACAGTTGTGGCATTACAATACTGTATTTGAATGCAAGTTCTTCTACCTACTGTGTAACCTGGGCTAGTACCTAATCACTTTAGATCACAACTTTCCTTTCCTCTATATTAAGATAGTAAAAGTATCTATTTCATAGGATTATTAATCAAATATTTTAACACTTGAGACATGATAGGTATTGAATTCCTATCAACGATTCATCTTCTTGGTATTAACAATTTCCAACATATAGCAGATAGTTCACAAACTTTAAAACAAATAAAAATAAACAATTTTCTGAACTTTTGGAAAAAATTTTCACACTACACTACTGAAACACTTTTAAAGAAAGGCAGCCATTTCTGTATAAAAGGAATTATCTGCAAAGTCTTTTATAAAAATTTATTTTTAAAAACCTATTTCTATAAATTTAAAAAATGCAGGGAATTTTAAGTTAGAGTTTCTACTTACATCTGGTTTGGAATGCTGAAATATCTTCAGGGGAAATTTTAAATCCCCTTTAGCTAAAGTTACTAAATATTCTTTTAGTAGCTCATTAGCTACACCAGGAGACTGTTTCTCACAACGATGGAGAAACGGAACCATCCATTGGTAGGCACTTGTCACATATTTGTCCTCAGAACACTGAAAGAACATTAAAAAAAAAAAATTAGCATTAAATAGTGCATTATCCCACACGAGTCCTAAAGTTTACCAGTAGTCAGATGATGTTAAACAGAGGCTGTGCATACTTTCTAAAACAGACACTGCAGGTCACCACTTACATATGTACCAACAGGCATCAAAGAATGAGTCACCTTCTACCTGGGAATAGTGGGGGTACAGCAACAATACCACTGTGGCCCATCTGCTCATGCCACTACATAGTCATGAGGTCCTCCAGAGCAAAGAGGATACCCAGAAGAGGGAAGAGGAAGAATATGTGAACAGGCAGAGGAGGAGACTTTAGACCAAGAGGAAAAGGCACAAGAACAGAAGGAGGGAGAAGAGCAAAGAGGTCTGGAAAGGAGCTACATCTAGAAAAGTCCAGAATCCCTCCATTCCTTTCCTCTTTTCATTTTGCTCCTTTATATCCACCTTCACAAAACTTCAAATGACACTGATAGTTTTACTCATTATCCATAAAATTATGCAATCACTTTTTTAAAATTACCCCAAAAGATCTACCTAAGTCTCATAAGGGGAGTCCCACGTACAAAACAAACCAAGTTTCACTGGGTTGCTTAAAGGGAAAAGAAAGCAAAAAAAAAAAAAAGTGGGGGGGTCGGAGTGAAAAAAGGAGGATGGAAAAGAGGGGACAGATGATAGAGGAATGGAGAAAGAGAAAAGGCAAGCCAGGCATAACAGTCAACACAGCTTTACATCACTTCAGTAACATACCCATGACGTTTGATTTTGGGAGAAAAAAAGATCAGGAAACCTTTATGTACTCAGTTTTCAAGTTTGAAGAACATTTCATTTTTGGTTCAAGATTTATATTAGTCAAAGTACAGAGAATGCTTAAAAAAATGTTAAAATAAAACTTACACCATTCATCAGTAATCTTAGTTTTTCAATGTCTTTCATTTGCTGGAGTTCTTTCAAGGTTAGGGTTAAGTCACACCCAGCTTCATAAACCAGTGTTTCCAGAGTAACCAAATTATCACACAGAACTAGCAAACCAGGAATATGCCGCTCCATTCCAAGTCGAATAAGTGACAATGCACAGTCAACCTAAAATTGAGAACAACTGTAAGTTCCCAAGCTTAGACATTCTAAAGTAAAAACTTAGTACAGAATCTAATTCTTATGACCATTTTTAAAAATTCCATTAAAAATATTTTTTTTTACCATAAAAACAGAGTTCTTAAAAGACTTAACCAGCAAGAAATACTGAGGATAAAGATATTAAAGGAGTGGGGAGGGGCGGGGGTTGTGGCTCAGTGGTAGAGTGTCTGCCTGGCATGTGCGAGGCACTGGGTTCGTTTCCCAGTACCACATAAAAAATAAAGCACTCATGTTCATCTAAAAATATTTTTTAAAGATATTAAAGGAAAGATAACCATCTTAAATTTCTCACAACATATTAACAAGGAGAGGGAAAAAAATTAACAGATAGTAAGAAAGCCAAATTACTCTTACTTTACTACACAGCTCTGTTTCCAAGAAGAGCAACTATCCCCACAGCTTCCAGTTCAGACACTTTCCTTCCACAGTGCCTCCCATACAGAAGGCATTCAATAAATATATGCTGATTAACTAACTCTGGTACAAACATTTGACTCAATTCACTTAAGCTTCATCAGATAAAAAGCAAGGAATGATTTTCCTTTAGAGGCACAACAGAATGCCATTTGACCCATTCCTTGATAAAATTTATGGATTAACATTCTCTGACTCATGGAAAAACATCTGTCATGGCCTATGCCCATGATCTTTCACACTACCCTGAGTTTCTGGTTCCTAAATTATTTTTTGAGGGCTTACTGTGAGTTAACATCATTAGAAGCACTAAGAACACAAAGCTGAGTAAGTCGAGGCCTCTACCTTCAATGGTTCCTCAGTCTAGGAAGGAAAAACAACCAGCCAGTCAATGCTGGAAGGAGTGAGGCAAGTGCTGTGACTGACTGGGATCCAAAGAGCACTGAGCCCATCCTGAGGGTGTGCAGCTTCCCAGATGAGGAACTTGTAAATGGGCGCTGCAGAACCAATGGGGTTTAGTGAGGTGAAGCACAAGAGGGAGGGAGAGTAGCACGGGAGGCAGGGAGGCAGAGCGCACTGTCATCTAGCTCCACCAGACAGAATGGCGTGACCTGAAGGGCAGGAAGGCTGGAGTCCTAAAGAGGAAGGTGCCACATCAGAGGATAGTGTGACACTAAGGAATCTGCAGTTTATCCTGAAACAAAATATGACCCAAGGTTTTCCACTGAGGCCTGTCAAACAGATTTACACTTTGGAATAGTATTTACTGAATGACGAATTAATCAGGATGATGAACTGAAATTGCCTGGACTGAAAACAGGGAGACTAGTCATGAGAACTGCAGCTGCCAGCATGGGAGGAATCCTGACAGATATCCTGATTCACATACCCATTCACTAGCTACTTCACTCATTCATGTGGGATAAGTATTAGTTGAACACTTTCTATGTACTGGGCAAAAAAATAACAAGGAGCCAAACCATGACAGTGTAATTGAAGTCATTCAAGAGGAGAAAAACAATATTAGGAAACAAACTATGAAGTTTGGTCAGACCAGATGAGAAGCATGAGTAAGGAAGAGGAGTCAACAATAATGGCTTGGGTTTTTCCTTTAAGTCAAAGGGTGGGCACAAGGGATCATCAAAACTGAGAACCTTGAACTGAATGTGTTGCTGCTCAGGAGCTTGTGGATTATCTCAATGCAGAGACCCAACACAGATCCAAAAACAAGTAAACCAAACCCGCAGCTGAAGTAAATGTACATGGCTGGAGATTCTACTTGGGAACTGTCAGAACATAAATCAGAGTGGTGTGAGGTGAGAAGATCTGAATGGGCCACACTTGTAGACAAGAATTAGTGACAAGAGAAGCAATCTGAGAAATAGTGATAATGGACAAGCCAAAGAACGTGAGCCACAGGAGCAGACAAATTGCTAAGACGAGCACAAGAAAACAGTGGAATATTGTCACATACACCTAAGAAGAGATTTCAGGAAAGTAGTAAATGGTGTTAAAGGACAAGATGTTCAATGAGAAACAGAGGGAACTGGATATTAAGAGTTGGACTGTTAGCCTGAGTAGTATTGTAGAAGGATTCAGACTGGAAAGAGAAGAAAGCAAAAATTGAGAAAGTGATTATGAAGAGCAGAGTGACTATTTCTAGGCTGAGATGTGATGGAAACAAGAAGCTAAAACAAGAAGCCAGGAAGAATATGGATTTAACTTATTTTTCTAGTTATAAAAGAGGTAGGATTTGAACTTTCTGCCCTAAAAGTGGGTAGGGGTAGTAAGACCCATTGAAGAAGGAGAAATTAAAGACAAGGACAGGAGCAGAGTGAAGAAGTGGCGGTAAGAACGACCCCGGGTGGACCACAGCTGCACACAGCTACATCCATGCGTCTAACGCCTACATCCGCTGCCGTCACCATCCTGCGCAAGAGAAAGGCTGCAGGGGATGCTAAAGGAGATAAAGCCAAGATCTGCAAGTTGTCTGCTAAACCTGCTCCTCCAAAGCCAGGGCCTAAGCCTAAAAAGGACCCTCAAAAGGAGGGAGAGAGAAGGGAGAAGCTGAGACCAGCAAGGACGGGAATAACCCTGCAGAAAATGGAGATGCCAAAACAGACCAGGCACAGAGAGCCGAAGGAGCTGGAGACGCCAAGGGAAGTGTGTGCATTTTTGGTAACTGTGGCCTTCTGGGGACTGTACATGTTGAAATGCCATTTTTTTTTAAATCAAGTTTTATAAAAATGCAGAATTTTGTTTTACTTTTTTTTTTTTTAAGCTATGTTGTTGGCACACAGAACACTTCATTGTTGTTTTGGGGGGAAGAAGCACATGTCACTAGTAGATTGTCTCCAAAGCTGGATTGCTGTGGGGGAAAACACCTTTCTCTTCTAGTTTTGAGACAACTTCTTTGCAGTTCCAATATACCTCCTGCCCCACCTCACTTCCTATACACACACCGTCCCCACTATCAACATGGCCTCATCCCATCTAAGGCCACAGATAACATTCGATTCACATTTTGTGTTGTACATTCTATGGATTTGGACAATTGTATAATGACATTTATCCACCTTTATAGTATCATTAAGAGTACTTTCACTGCCCTAAAAATTCTGTGCTCTGCCTACTCCTCTAACCAGTGGCAACCGCTTATCTTTTTGTTGTTTCTATAATTCAACATTTTACAGAATGCAACACAGTGGAATTATATTCTAGGTAGCCATTTCAGATTGGCTTCTTTAACTTAGTAATATGCATTTAAGGTTCCTCTGTCTTTCATGGTTTGAGAACTCATTTATTTTTAGTGTTTAGTAATATTCCATTCTCTGGAACTATCGTAGTTCATCCATTCACTACAGAAGGGGTTATCAATTGTAACAAATGTACCACTAAAATGCAAGGTGTTAGCAATAAGGAAAATTTGGTGGGAGGAGTAAGGGTGTGTAGAACTCCACAGTAGCACACTAGTTTTCTATAAAGCTAAAATAGATTAAGCAGGAATTCAAGAACGCTACCATGTGGAAAACTGGACCTTCTCAGATACACAAAGTAGAAATGTAAACAAGGATCTACATCTTTCTTCCCTCGTGCTATTGCTCACCAGAACCTCTAGAATCAACCTTTCTGTCAAACTAAAGACTGATGGTGGGAGAGGAGGTCCAAAGCCAGGATGTGGGGAGAAAGGAAATGTCATCTACTGACCAAACCCTGAATGAGACTTTTAAAGTGCCTTTTACCATTCTTTGTTCTGAATTACCAGTCTGCTCTCTTAAGATGAAATCAACTATGGCTTACATTGACAGAGCACTCAATTACTAGCAGAACTAGGGTGAGGGGAGGGGCACAAGTGGTAGTGTTCCTTTGAAGTACTGGAGATTGAACCCAGAGGCAGCCTACCACTGAGCTACATCCGCAGACCCCTTTTTGTAATTTTGAAGCAGTGTTTCACAATCTTCCAGCCTCAGCTTCCAAAATAACTGATTACAGATACTACACTACCAAGTTCAGCCAATTGACAGAGTTTTCAATGTTCTCAAGTATATTTCTTTGTTCTCATGAACTCTGACTAGAACTAATGAAAAGAGAAAATTGAGGTGGTACAAAAAAGGTACAAAATCACAAAGTCTGTTAGTGGAAGAGTCAATATTCCTATTCAGCAACTTAAGCTCAGTATAATCCTCATCTCTCTGAATCATGCCTCCTCTCTGATGTAGTTATGGATCTCAGTAAAGGTCCATAAGCCTAAGAGAAATTGAGTCTAGTTTTAAGGAAAATAGTAGAAACAGCTTTGAACAGGGTTCCTGAAAGGCAAGATCACAATCAACCATATTACCTCACTGTAAAATGGGACTGGTCAAGCACTCTATGTAGAAAAAATTAATATTAATATTTACTGACATTAATATTAATGTCAGTAAATTAATACGTAGACAAACAGGAACAGAATGTTTTGCAGCTTATATTATAAAAGATTTAGAACTTTTCTTGCACATATTTGCTCTGTAAGAATCCAAAATAATGGTACAGAATAGAGGACACAGAAACCAATCCACAAAACTACAACTATCTTACATTTGATAAAGGGGCTAAAAGCATGCAATGGAGGAAGGATAGCATCTTCAACAAACGGTGCTGGGAAAACTGGAAATCCATATGCAACAAAATGAAACTGAATCCCTTTCTCTCGCCATGCACAAAAGTGAATTCAAAATGGATCAAGGAGCTTGATATCAAATCAGAGACGCGCCGTCTGATAGAAGAAAAAGTTGGCTACGATCTACAGTCGGTGGGGTCGGGCTCCAAATTCCTCAATAGGACACCCATAGCACAAAAGTTAATAACTAGAATCAACAAATGGGACTTACTCAAACTAAAAAGTTTTTTCTCAGCAAAAGAAACAATAAGAGAGGTAAATAGGGAGCCTACACCCTGGGAACAAATCTTTACTCCTCACACTTCAGATAGAGCCCTAATATCCAGAGTATACAAAGAACTCCAAAAATTAGACAATAAGAGAACAAACAACCCAATCAACAAATGGGCCAAGGACCTGAACAGACACTTCTCAGAGGAGGACATACAGTCAATCAACAAGTACATGAAAAAATGCTCACCATCTCTAGCAGTCAGAGAAATGCAAATCAAAACCACCCTAAGATACCATCTCACTCCAGTAAGATTGGCAGCCATTAGGAAGTCAAACAACAACAAGTGCTGGCGAGGATGTGGGGAAAAGGGTACACTTGTACATTGCTGGTGGGACTGCAGATTGGTGCAGCCAATTTGGAAAGCAGTATGGAGATTTCTTGGAAAGCTGGGAATGGAGCCACCATTTGACCCAGCTATTCCCCTTCTTGGTCTATTCCCTAAAGACCTAAAAAGAGCATGCTACAGGGACACTGCTACATCGATGTTCACAGCAGCACAGTTCACAATAGCAAGACTGTGGAACCAACCTAGATGCCCTTCAATAGACGAATGGATAAAAAAAATGTGGCATTTATACACAATGGAGTATTACTCTGCATTAAAAAATGACAAAATCATAGAATTTACAGGGAAATGGATGGCATTAGAGCAGATTATGCTAAGTGAAGCTAGCCAATCCCTAAAAAACAAATGCCAAATGTCTTCTTTGATATAAGGAGAGTAACTAAGATCAGAGTAGGGACGAAGAGCAGGAGAAGAAGATTAACATTTAACAGGGATGAGAGGTGGGAGGGAAAGGGAGAGAGAAGGGAAATTGCATGGTAATGGAAGGAGACCCTCAGGGTTATACAGTGGAGGGGGTAGAGAGAGAGGAGGGGAGGGGAGGGGAGAGGTGGGGAGGGGGGAGGGGGGAGGATGGGAAAGGCAGAAAAAAAAAAAAAGAATCCAAAATAAAAGCCACAAAAACTTTTGAGGCAAAGAATAAATGAACAAAAGTAATAAGAATCACTCATTCCATCCCTTGCAAATGACCTCCATGATTCCTGACCCTGCTATCCACATCCATTGCATACGCTGAGCCCTAAGGACCCAGCAACACTGCAGTATTACTGGGCAGCAGCAGTCCTCCCCTCACCTGCCTGGCGTGGTGTTCTATCTCTTCTGCTCTGCTCTGATACCAGTCCATAGCCTTCTCAACTGTAAGCTGGGCCGTCCTGAACCTCAGTAACTCAGGCTGTGCGGCATACAAAAATTCACTTTCATCTTGGAGACTCGGCTCAACAACCACTCTGCAAATCACAAAATGAACAATTAACAACTCATTGGAATGCTCGAAAAATATATAATTTTATGAACGAAAGGGGGAAATAGGTGACAAAGGGATTATGTGTGTGTCATTATGTGTTTTCTCTTATGTATTTGCATACTTACAGGAAGAGACACTTTGGGAGAATTTATTTTCCTACAGTTTTTCCCAATTTTAAAAATCATAAAACAATTGTGCCACAAATCACATAAGTATTAATAAAATCACCCTGGAAAGCAAACTGGTTAAATCAAAATCACGTGTGCTGGCCAGCCAGGCCTGGGTTAGCAAATTTCCCCCAGATTACTTCAATTTGAGTTGAAATTACAAAATCTTGTTTTCATAAACATAAAATAACGCCTCATTTAGGTTGGGAATATACCTCTACTAGGCCCTGGCATGGTAGCAATGCACTGGTGTGTGCCCAGTACAGGACTACTCCATAACATTCCCCACCAAATGAACAATAGTGAAAAATGAACAATACCTTAAAGGAACACACACAGGTATAACATCATGAGGACCACAAATTATAAGGAGTTTTTATGAGGATGATCAAAGACAATTGCCTTCCATGGTTAAGGGACAAGACAAAAGTAACTAGACTCCCCAGATGGACCAGGAAAACACTGTGTTCCTTTAGGGACATTCATTCATCTAAAGTGAGGTGGTAACACATGTGGTTGGTTATTGTGATTATAAGGAAGTGAGCTTATATTGGCACCATCTGTCCTTATAGGACACATCATTTAAAGTTTACACATCAAAATAATCAAACAAAATAGGTGAAGCACAGCATAACATTAAAGTGTTTTGCTAAATCTGTGTATGGCATTCTGCTCAGCAATGCGCAAAACAGACCAGAAGTTGGGAGGTTTTTTTCCTCCTGTTCCAAATAGTCAACAAGCCATCTGACAAAATTACTATTGAGAACTGTTCCACATAATTTTGGTCAACGTTGCCACCTCTTTTCTCTTTTCCTACTATACTTCTATAGATAACATTAAAAATTCCTGAGGAATCCTTAAGATTTCTCAGAGCTATATCAACATTTGTACGTAGAACATATATCACTGATATCTGTCTTCTCATTTTTAAAGGTACTTCTTTATTGTAAGCACACTGTATTACTAACAAACTGGAGAAAATATTTTTCCCCAATACCTGGAAAATAATAAAATAAAAAATTAAAAAAATAAAATAAAATATCAAATAATATAATCCATAAAAAAATTAAGGAAATGAGCTTATAAGTGTGCTACAGAACATGCAACACAATTCCTCACTGAAAGCTGTGAAACCCTGGGCAAGTTACTTAGCTAAAACTACCTTAGGATTCCTTTGATTCTAAAATGTGGGGCTAATACTACTGCAAAATGTTGTAAAAATTCAAAGTAATCAAAGTAAATAGTCTACACTGCCTGGCATAAACCAAATAGTTATTTGGTTTATTTATAGTTACTATTTTTGGGGGGGTTTCCATCAGGTGTGGCACATGATTAGACACAAAGCACCTAAGTACCTGGGCATCTTAGGCACATACCCAAGATAAGCCACTGTGCTTGTAACTGGCACCACACTAAGTCTCACGTGTGGAATGATCCTTTACTTAACTAGCCTCCTATTTTCATTAGTATTCTTCCAGGGATTTTTCCCCCACACAAAGCCACATCACTCTTCCAAGCAGTTTTTTTAAATCTGCCCCTTTTCAACAGGGAAAAATAGCCACCAGCAACTGAGTGTTCCTTTGATGCTTTTTTTCAGTCCTTACCCATTTCCCTCTCAACACCATCTGAGAGGATTTAACTGCTCTCTCCTTCAGGAATCAGCTTCCCTTTCATTCCAAGCAGCCATACAATCAGAATTCCTTTCATCTTTTCGGCTGCTCCTTTTTGGTCACCTTTGCTAGAATATCCTCTTTACCCAACATTAAATATTTGCACTTCCAAATGCTTAACCCAACACTATTCTTACTCTGTACTCTCTCCAGGTCTCCCTGCAACTCTACAAATATAAATGACCACAGACGATTCAACTACCATATTTTACCTGTAACCCAGACGTCACTTAGAAGCTTTAAGATCTTCCTGCTGCTTGTTTCTAAATATTTTTCTGGCATTTCAAATGCAACAAAACTGAAAACTAAATCTGTGACATCCTCAGGTAATAGTTTTTTTACAACAGAAATCTGATAAAAAATAAGAACATTTCTTATTTTCAGTTCTTGAAGAGGGCCTTGCCTTTAGCCTTTCAGCACTCCCTCCTCACTGCCAAACATATCTCCACTGAGATAATTCCTGCTTATTCTCCAAATTCTTCAAGTCCCCACAGGGATTCTCTCTGACCTCCACCAAGGTTAAGGCTTCCCCTTGCATGCCCACAATGCCCCACCATGTCTTTCACAGTACTCTGCACTTCCACCTGGGGCACACCTTCGTGAAGACAGGGACTACACAGTCCTTTTCTTCCTTCAGAATCCCTGGGCCTAACCAAAGACAGATGCTAATAAACAGAACAAATGACCTGTACTACTCAAGATCTGTATCATCTTCCAAATCATCTTTTCATGGCTTCACATGTTTATAGTTTCTGGAGTTTCTTCCACTTAAGTGCTGTCTAAGAAGAAATACCTTCATTCTTGGCATCTACTTGTTAGAATCACAAGATACAGGCTAAGGAAAACAGAAGAACCCAATGAATGGGTCCAGTCCTGGGCTTCCAGTGCTGCTCCATAAAAAGCATCATCTCAGAGGAGCTGGGAGGCTGGGTAGGGGAGGGGAAAGTCTTATTTAATTGGAGAGAATTTGTGCAGTACCATCATCTCACTTTCCTCACCATGGACACCAACCTTCCACCTTTTTAAATTTCTCTACCTTTCAATTTTTCATTACAATTAGTAAATAAAGAATTCTAGTTAAATATGGTCAATAAATAAAATGTTCCCATTTTATCCAAAAAAATTCCACTGATAATAAATTCTTGGGTGGGGGCATGAATACACAAGAAACTGTTGTTCTGTTTTTTCCTGAACTTAACACCCACTGTACTCTCTCCACTCTTGATTGCTTGTATGTAGTCACTGCTCCTTTTTTTTCCAATTTCTAAAAGATCAAATACTAAAATATAAAATATTTTGCAATGAGGGCTGGGGTTGCGGCTCAGTAGTAGAGCGCTTGCCTAGCAAGTGTAAGGCACCGAGTTCAATCCTCAGCACAACATGAAGATAGTTTGTCCACCTATAAAAAAATATTTTAAAAAATATTTTGCAGTGATATTTCAATTACATTACAACATATCATCCCCCTAAGACCTGATTCTTGAATCCACCCCTTATCCCCTACTTTCACCCCCCAACTGGGCACAATGTCATCCAGGACCTTGCTTTTGCATATATTAAAGTCCAGTTTGGAATCCAGTGGCATTTTCTTCTCATTTCACTCCCTATTTTAATAAAGGAAACCTTAGGATGGCTTCCTAAAACAAGGTATATGAGTGACAAATTTCATGAACTATACATAAATCATCAAATATGAAAGCAGTTAACTGGATATTGAAATCTATATAAGATACATTCTTCAAAAGTTTCAAAAGGATTCCAATTGTCTTAAAGCTTCTTGTATTTTTCTGGATGTTTGAGGTCCTTCTGAGCCCCAATTCCTTCCATGTAGTCTCTTTAGAACAATGTATCCCTGATATTCTTGAAGGTTATAATGCTGTACTTCAATGTAATAAGCATTTCAGTCTGAATATTCACAACCTTCAACTCTAAGTATAGAACTGAATTATTTCTTATAATTTTATTTACTTTATTATCTATGTGTTTTTAAAAGCCTGTAACTTTAACAGAGGTTTGTTTTTAATGCATCCTTCTCTTATTAGAATGAAAATACAGAGCTAGAATATATCTACAAAATCTCCTGGATTTAATTTTCCAATTCTTTAAATTTTGTATACCAACAACCATATGTTTAATGTCCCAAGTTCTCTTTAAGCCTTTGTTCCCATTTTATACAACTATTTATCTAATAAATATAATCTTATCTCCCAGGGAATATTATAATTTTTGAAGTTTCCTTCTGTCAACATGGTGCATTTCTTTCAGTTCTACTTTCTGTGTGTTTTCCTCACCAGTTAATTTGTTGTACCTGCCTGACTCTATCCTTAGATGTCCAGGAAGCTCTGTGAGTGTGGCAAGAACTGCTTATTTGCTATATCCTTATAGTGCCCTAACCTTTGGGGACAATGCCTTAGTATTTAGAGCCCTATTCCAGAGGCTACTCCACTTCTCTAGAAAGGAATTCTCCAAACTTCTTGGGGATTATTCCTGCATCTGAGAGGAGGGAGTAGGAAGGAAACTTAGAGTTCCAGCATTCAGGAGATACATAAATTCCTGGATTTTGAAACCCATATCTTCATTCCCACCTATACTGTACCTAGTATCCAGGAATCTGGAGGCTTTCCAGCTAACTAGAGGTCCCCTGGTCTCATGTACGGAAAATATGGAAGGAGAGACAATGAAGAACTATTTGCCCAATTTTGGGGAGTGGGGAATAAAGGAATTCAAATGTTTCTCATATGGACTTTCACTCCCATATCATATCTCCCATCCCCTTCTGCAATACTTATATCTCCACATCCTGAGGTTTTCCCCCCCAAGATCAATCTTATAAAAATGAAAATTGAAACTAAATGAAAAACAAAGGTACATGTATGTATATGTGTGTGTATATATATATATACATACACTTTAACTGAGAAAAAATATTTACCTGAAAAATTAAAAGAACAGCTAAAATGAAGAGTTGTAATAAAAGCATTTCACAATCCCTTTGTAACATTTAATATCTTCTCATTGAAAAGTTTCAACATAACCAAATCAACAGTTTGTTGTTTTGTTTTGTTTTTCCCTTTAACTTTACTCAAATGCTCCAGATCAGGGAGCACCATCAAGAAGTGATCATACATCACTTTTTCACAGGGCCATCTATTCACCCATCCCACAAAGAA